TTTATTTTTTTATATTCTCTCAAAAATGCAACCTTGGGCAATGCAGAAGAGAAAGCTTTGCATCTGAGTTTTAGATGCAAAGCTTCTTATTGCAGTCGGAAGTGCTTTCCAAAAGTATTCATACCCTCTGAATTCGTTCACATTTGGCCCATAATTATGAAATGAAAGGAAGCAAAAGCATAATTTTCAAAGTGTTTTGCTCTTAAAAGGTTAGAATAAATTCAATTGCAATCATTTGCCTTGAGAGCAGTAATTAGTTTTAAAAAGGTATGTTCACATGTTGGGATGGCACAGTCTACATGCACACCTAAATCAATTTAGAATAAGTGGCAAAACTGAAAATTGCGAGTAAATGATGCTGTCTGTCAATTGGGACTGATCTTGACCACTCCTGCCATCAACCATCACCATTTTCAATAGCTCTGTGAAGAACCTGAATCAATGAGCTACAACATTTTTTGAATTTGAATAGAGCCAACTTGAAGTAAGAATGGGCAAAAATAAGCCTTAATTTATTATTTAGTTTAACTTTCAAGGCACTTATGAATCAGTTAGTCTTTACAACATATGTACATATAATTTAACTCATATGTAATGTTATGAAAACAACTTCAAAGCTGTTGGCAGATTTGCGAACCAGAAGTTGTGTAAATATGTTTTTCTTCTAGGTCTTGCATAAATCGCAGAGCTTCACCTTTTGCGGATAAAACGGCATCAGTGTCTGTCCGTGTATCAATATTAATGAGCTCAGTTTTGCTAAAACTAAATTACTCATTCAGTTCTTACAGCTAGAAACTGCTGACCAGATCCGACATGTGGGCGTAGTGATGGACTTGGACCTGAACCTTCAGAGAAACATGAAGACAATTACAAACTCATTTCTGGTTCTGCTCTACTCTGCATCCACAGAACCAAAACCAAATATTGTGAAGCTTCTATGCTCCACTAGTCTTGAACAAAAACCCAGAAAACTAAAAAAACAAAACAACCCCCACACCATCCTCCGAAACAGTTTCTTTAAATCAAGGCTGAAACCCCATTTGTTTAGAGTTGCTGTTGATTAATAACAACTACAAATATTATCTTTATTTTGCCACTTAATATTTTAATTGTAATATGCTTACAAGTGAAAGATGTTTTATTGATCAAATCTGTTTAAGTTTTTGTTATATAGCAACGGATATCCGTGCATCTCTCATTGTGTCAAATGCTCTTTGCATTTTATTTTTTGGACATTTTGCATTTTATGTTTTGGACAATATCACAAACACAACAGAATTTTAGTCATTTCACAAAAATTTATCTATGTCTAGTTGTCCTTGTGTTATATTCCACAACTAATAATCCGGTGGTATTATTCTTAACCATGGCAGCAAGTGTAATAAATGTCCTTCTGTTTTTCATGGTCATATTACTTTGAGGATAACGTCATCACCTTTTCCTTGCTCCCTTCTTCATGCGTTTCCTGTTTCTGAATTATAATGATGAAATTTCTGCTTGTTTCTCACCACTTGTAAGAGTATCTTTCTCACTCTCTCTCTTGATGTAACACCCCCCCAACCCCGAAAAACCATCTCCACCCTCTCTACCACCTCCACCCTCTCCCTGTGTAGTGCCTGGCAAGGCTACAGTCTATTAAACACACAGACAGTGGGGGCTCCCCCGTGGGCTCATTAGTGAGCTGCTCCGCACAGCCTGGGGAACGCTGGAACAGACCATTCCGCTGGATCCCAAAGGGGTGCCAGAGGATTCATTATGCTGTCGCTCCGCGTAGTCCCCTGGTGTTGGGAACATGCTGTGATGTCGTATATTGAATTAATAGGTTGGTGATTTAGGCTGTCAGTTGTCATTAGAGTCCTTGTGTTGGTTGAATATGATGTATCTTTTTAATGCGCAACATGGATGTGACAATGGATCACAGCCCAGCCACCGCTGCGTGCCACAGGTAGCTCTGAAAAGACCTGCTTTCTGTTCATTGGGTCAGAAAGCAGATCAGTGGACAGTGGACCTAGTTTTGTTACCGTGTTGGGTGGGTGGCAAATTTAATCCCTTGAAATGCGTTAAAAATAGACCTGACTGTCGTAACATCTGAAGTGGAAATGTGTTTTTTTTTTGTGCTGAAAGCAGCTGTTTTGGTAACGTCTCTGTCGCAAATACTGGCGGACGCGTTATATTTGTGTTTTAATATATTTTTAAGTAATTTATTCAGTTTCATCTTTATTTTCTCTTTTCACTAATTTATGTTCATTTGGTCAATGTTTGCTTGCATTAATGTTTTATTAAGAAAGATGGTTTGAAAATGGTAGTCCTGTAAATGTAACTTTATTAGTGCTAATTTTGTTTAGATATCACTTAAAAAATTAATTTAAAAAAATTACACATTCTCATAGCATAATTAAAGATGCAGTGATCATCTTTAATTTTTATTAAAGATTAAAGATGTTGCAGATCTCTGATGTCCATTTTGTTTTAGTTCCTTTTGCCAAGATTTGACCTGCTGATATTTTGGTTTTCTGTTAAGACTTATAAATAAGAACAGCGTTACATTTTACATTTTTTAGCTTTAGTTTCAAGAGCATTCAATATTTTTTTTTCCAAAAGAAGAGGAAGTAACGGCTTCTATGTGGAAGAGGAGACGCTGTAAAACAGTGGATTTACTTTTTAGCTCCAGTGGCCTTTATTTGAAAGTGCTATGACAGGAAAGTAGGTAATGCAATGCTCTAAACATGCAGCAAAGGTCCCAAGGCTGGGAATCGAACCTGCGACGGCCGAATTGAGGACTAAGGCCTCATTGTGTGGTTTGTGCTCAACTCCTGTGCCACCACAGCACCCCGTAAAGTCACTGTTTTAAAAATATACAATATGCTGATATTGTTGACATTTTAAACTTTAACTTGGGTTTAATGTGACTTAAGAAAACATTTGAACTGCAGGATCACAACCAGACGGACATACATTACCTCTTTTAGCAGACTTTAAGAAAGAAACAAAGTGAAAATCTGCATAGCAGCGGGATGTAACAACATGTTAGCAGATATCAGCGAATTATAATTTCTCAACCGACTATCGTTGCACTTTGTTCAGCCAAACAACTTCTATTAATTCTACGGCAGGTTCTCTGGTTCAGCCTTTCGGCTGCATCTTTCCCTCCAATCAGCTCTGACCTGTCAGGGCGCTTTAGCTCTGCCAAGAACGCAGTCTATTTGAGGAGTTTGCATCAGTTGGACAGCTTCATTAAACGTGGTATGTTATTGTGCTTTCCAGGTTTTGTAATTTGAAAATTATCCTGACTCATGGTCAGCTTATTTAACAAATAAGATGAGGTAGACAATTAAAACATTAGCTTGTTAACATCTTTCTACTACAGTGAGAAAGATTTTGAGATGTTTTTGTTTTGTTTTTTAAAGTCCAACCCTTTAACTCTGAGATTTCCAAAAGGTGTCGGCATGTCCAACAGCAGTGCGTTTTATGAAAGAAAAAGGTTGACAGTGTAAAAAAATAAAACAACTTTACTGAACTCCGCTTGACCTTAATGTCGTCTGCTGAAAGTCGAACAACCATCTCTTTGGCTTGCAATCTGAATGAACCACAAAAATGTCTGGATATGTTTTTGAAAGACTTCTCACTTTAGAATAGCTCTCCAAATCTTAAATGCATTTATTTCAAAACACCTCTGTGTTACAAAAATATATAACTTACATTTTTCTTTTCTGTACAAAAAAAGTTTTGCTGTCATAGTGATCTGTTTTTGCCTGGTTATGGTGCATTCACTGACTGAGATTTCTGTGCAAATGTGATCACTGGTCTGGGCTGTGAAATTTCACCACGTTGCAATGTGCCTTTACCAGCTACAACTGGTAAAGGCACAAATCCAAAACTGCACAGTTTCAAAGGTTGCACTGTTTAAATTGAAAATATTTGTTTTTGCTTGAGTTGTTTTCTGTATCTCCTCACTATTTATATGGTACTCTGCCAACTAACAGTACGTTAGAGGGTGAAATGTGAAAGGGGGTTTAGTTGAAGTGCCATCAGTGTCACCTGCTCTACTTTTACAGGATGACCATGATAAATTGGCTTGGTGGAATTAATGTTGCCACTATTAATGTAAGCCATTTTTCCTGAAAATGTAGTAAGAATTATTTTGGAAGAAGTTCCATTGCATCTCACACCTTGGAGAGAGTAGCGTCAAAGTGATGTAACATGGTGAAACGAAATAACAACCTGACAGAGGCAATCACATCTGTTGTACTTCCTGCCTTTCTCCACAATGACTCTTGTGGGAAAAACTAATTTCCTCAGCCACAGAAATTTCATTAGCCTGTCCCCTTTGTCTGAAAAGAAGAAGCTATTTTCTCCTCAGGCAAAGGTGTGCAGTTTCATACTGTACATATGTAGCACACAAGCACAAATACAATACTTTGTGTGTTTACTGAAAGTATGTCATGTTAATTTAATTTAGTATTTGTAAATTGCTGCAGTATTCAAAACAGTCTGAATGACTGCAATGGTTGCAGGATGTTTGATGATTTAGTCTCAAGATTTATTCTTATTAATGAAAAAAAGATTAAAAATGGTTGGTAATAAGTGAAACATTCAGTTCCATGAAAATTTTGTTTCCTTACAAACACTGCAAAGAGTTTGCACTGCACTTCAAATTATTAAAATAACTCCAGAGATTTAAGCATGTTTTATTTTCAAATACTAGCAGTCTTATTCAACATTTTGGAAATATCAACATCGACTTTATCACAGTATATGATCTGTCATTGGGTATGGGTCAAAAAATCACTTTTTACTTTTTTAAATGTTGGCACATAATGAAAAAGTGATTTCAGAAATTGAAAAGAGAAAATTATTTGTTCAATGTTGACTGAAGTGAAAAAACTTAACATTTTCATTTATGCTTCTTCATTGAAGTATACTGAAATCACAGAGTGATTTTGGCGTACGGTTGAACCGGTACTAAAAATGGGAGCTGAGTTTGTGTATTTCTCTTGCAGGATGATGCCGTGGTTCATCATATGGCTGCAAAAGCCGTAGAAAACGTCTCTTCAACCGTCTCTGGTTTCTCTCGTCACCTGGCTACCACAGAGATGGGCGCCGCTTTGTGGTTCCTGTTCAGTCACTCGACGGTGGAGGCCGTCAGAGTCACTGCCATCTCTGTAAGCTCACTTGGTGACATTCACTCAACACACAGGCATGTCATGTCCTGTTTGTAAAGCAGAGAAAATATGCATTGAGTAAAAATGTTCTTATCTAGTGCAGCTTCAAGGTAAAACTGAAGAAATAAAGCTTCTGTGCTTCCATTTTTTTTTCTGTTGGTTTTTAAAGTGTATTTTAAAACGCTAAACCTTGCAGCCTAAACCAAAGAGGTGGAAAGGTAGCAATAACGTGATGTTACCACGGATTTTAATGTATCTTATTGGGATTCTATATAAAAGACAAACACCGATTGTTGCGTAATAAAATAGCAAATGCTTTTCAGATTTTTATTTGTGTAAAAATGTTATTCCATTTGCCTTTTCTTTTTAATATTAACTTCAGCAATATTACATAGAAAGCATGAACATCAATTTTCCAGTTCTGCCACAGACTCTATTAGAATCAGGCCTGGGCTTTGGCTAAGCCATGCAAACATTAAACATGATTTGATTTAAACTGTTCCACTGAAACTCTGGCTGTATGTCCAACAGGAAAATTAACCTCCATCTCAGTCTCAAGCCTGGGCTTGAGGTTTAACTATGTTTTTCCAGAATTGTCCAGTGTCCATACTTTTTTCCATCATGCAGCTTCCTCAGCAGAGAAAAGTCCCTACAGCATAATTATGCCATTATGATGTGTTACTATAAGGATGGGTCTTTAGTGTCATGTCCTAAACAGCTCTTAGAAAATTCAAAATAAGACTTTTGAATTTTCTAAATTCAAAAGTCTTCCATTTCTTCATTTGGCCCAGCCTGGCAGTTTAAGATGATGGTTAGGAGTAGTTAATTAAAAGGGACTTAATGCAAATGTGTATTCCATTTTGCAGATCTTTATTGGTAGTAAAACTATGCAATTTACTGTTTTCATAATATTTGTGCTTAATTATCTTCATAATTATGCACTTACATTATTTGACGGCCCAATTAAATCCCAGTAAATATTCTGAAGGTTTTAACATGACAATATGTGTAGAAGGTCTGGAAGTATAATCACTGTTGATATTTTCAATCACCCACCAATGCACTCCAATATGATCATTACTTTGTTATTGTGTGGGGCAAATTTTACAAGTTAGTTGTTGTTACAAGATACCTACTCATGTAATTTCTTTAACCTCTAACACTCGAGACCCCAAGCGCTACATACTGTAGCTTTATAAAGATGTAGACTCATAATTCATGAATGACATGCAGTAAAATTGCTCATGACGAGCGCGTGTTTTCATCCACCTGTTTTCCCAGTCTCTTTCAAGGCTAACCCGGCTGGACCCAGCAGTCTTCTTGTCGGTGATTGACACCTGTGGCCCCGCAGCCGTCTTGGAGGGCATAGGTGGAGCAGGGTCCAGGGTGCAGCAGCACCTGCTCACTGCCGTGGCCTCTGCCCTCCTCGCCTCACACATCCACAAACATCGGATCACACAGAGCCGGGTATGTTCACTCTCTGAAGCACATGTGCAAGATATTACAAGAAGTTCAAATGTCAAACTTAAAGCTATTCGGGCTGCATATTATCAAGCAGAAACGCCGTTTTAATATGGCATTGCGCAGGATATATTGTGGTTATTCAGGTTCTTGCTGATGAGCACACGAGATTTAGTGAGAAATGTTCTCAATGTTAATACATTGGAAACACCCATCAATAAACACACACTGTGAAAGCCACAGTTTGTAATATCCTTACATTTCATCCTCTCTATGTCTTTGCTGGTTTACCTCTTCTCTTTTTTTTCTACATAGTTCATGAACTAAATCTGAACTGTGCATGAACTAATTTGTCAGGAGTTACTTATTTAATTTTTCATGAGAAAACCCATCTCGTGTGTATGTGATGTGTTAATGTTGGGGAAGCAGAGGGGCTAAAATTGATTTGAAGGTTTTTAACTTGCAGTCTAGAATTGGTAATTGACTCTGAACTGAATTTATTTGCATTGAACACTTCCAATTTAACACCAGAATACAAACTTAGTACTTCAACTCTGCTCTAATTATAAACTGATATGCATTCACCCCCCACCCTCTTTCTCTCCCCTGGCACAAAGACAGACAGTCCAGGAGTTCGGTTTGTTTACACAGAACTCTGTTTGCGTGTGCATACACGTGTGTGCGAGCGTGTGTGTGTGTGTGTGTACATGCATGTGTGAGAGGGGACTGTGACTGTGTGCTCAGAAGCACAAACACTAATTTGTTGAGTGTGTCAGTATCTGGGCTAATTGGCTGAATGAATATGCTGCAGTCTTCTACTTCAGCAAAGCATTATGGGTAGTGGGGAGGGACTTATCAGCTAAGAGCACACGGCTGGGCTTTGAAATTAATTAACTTGGTGTGTTGCACCACACAGACTAGAACATGCTTTCACATTTGCTCCTAAACTCACACACACACATGCACACGCTCTTGGTTGTGTATGGTGTTGATGATAATGGTGCTGTTAATGAATGTTGGTCAGTCAGATTTTTTTTTTTTCCCAAGGAGTTAGTCCTACATTTGCTAAAGGAATGGCTGTTGAAATGTTTGTATGTCATACAAACAGCCTAACAGGATTATATGTTTTATTTTTTTTTAATCATTTACAGTTTTAAGCACAGCTCTTGTTTATGTTTTTTTACTTCCCTAAAATCACTGGTAACACAATTGTTTGTACCCCTAAAATGTTAAAATGCGTTAAAGAAAGCATTTCTGTAATTTATGTCTCACTCTTTTCAGTTGGTGAGAGCCTAGTAACGTCGCCTACATAATATGTGATTTCTTTTTCCCTAAGATATAAATATATGATGCAGAGGTCATTTATTTCAGACATTTTGCAAGTTTAAACTTGTCACCATACACAGAGAGCAGGACTGTAAAGACAGAAGAAAATCTCCAAAACTCATTGTTTCAGAAATGCAGCAAAGAATGGCATGTAAGGGTCACGGAGTCTCAAAACAGCAAACTTTGATGTCGTTTGCATGCTAATTGGTGGTTTAGGATGCTAGAAAAAACCTCTACTGTCCTACCATCACAAACATAAACATGTGGAGGTTTTTAAGTTTTCCTTTAACTGGAACTGTGTTGTTTGCCAGTTGTTGTTTTTCAACAATCATCGGCCTGCAGACTTAAGATTCAATGATGACTCTGTTTTGTAGGATCTGGTTCTGAAAGTGCTACGTTGCTTGGAGAGCCCATCTGCTGTAACGAGAGCCAAAGCATTACTGCTGTTACTGCTGCTAACACAGGAGAACACACACATGCTGCTTTACTGCTGTCAGCACAGGTAAACACTGCGCACTACTGTAGTTCACACACAGTTGAATAGTGAACTTTCTCTCTGTTATACATCATTTGATTATTTATCCATCTTAATCGAGAGTATTTGGCACAAGGTAGACCTATTTGAAGAACTCAGCAACAAACTGACATTGCGATAATTATTTGTAACTGAATTGTCATAAGCTCTAGGTATTCAAAAACAGTACTAAGAGGCCAGAGAACTTCTACTTGGCTAATTAAAGACATTTTGCTTTTTAAAATGTACTTTATTCCTTGTTTCTAAAATGTGACGCCTGCCTGCTGCGCTTTTCTCAACTCACCACATTTCATTGCACAGCCTCCTGCTGTCTGACTTCACCGAGGCTTAGAGTGGAGAAACGTCCTCTTAGCTGCAGCCAGTCTGGCAAACCATTGGCTAATTATCTTCTCTGGAATGTAGCGGTATACGTTCACACACAGCCTGAACTGTCGGAGAACAAACACGTTGCATTTTTGAATTCCATTTCAGGGTGAGATTTCCCTTTAATTATTTAACTGCAGCTTTCAGTACGGCTATGTTTTCTTATCCAACAACAGTGCTATAGAAATGACCTCTTCAGTGTACTCTCTGGTAAGACAAATGGATATCTGTTCTCTATGGCTGAAGAAGTATTTTTAGATTAAATGTTTTCGATTAAAAACCAAAACTGGGTAAAAACAGGAAATTCTGATGCTGTAAATCACACAGGTCTGCAGAAACATTTACAGCGAAGATTCTTTCATCAAAATTCTGCCTGCAGATTTTGGAAAAGAAGTTCTAGTTTTTATAACCTTTTGTGTTAAATTAATGCAGAATATTAATATAAATACATTTTCCCAAGACATTTAATTTTACCACATACAGTTTAGTCTTTTTCAAACTTCAAACAGTTTATTAACAGCTTGTCCTGAGGTTCACCCCACTGCATTGCAGCATTAAGTATATCACTAGCATATGATGAAATGTATATCCATGATTCTTGCATTCATGCATCCTTACAACCCTGTTCCCTCTTGGCTTTTCAGTTTAACTACATGTTCAAATTACTGACACATGAATCATCATAATTCTCTTTTATTGGTGTCTCATCTGTTCTTTCCCCCTGGCTCCTCACAATGTTTGCTCAGATTTTTCTTGAACTGGCCCTCTTTAGAAATATATTACGATGGGAACTTGGAGAAGGATTTTATACTCCAGGGAGGAGATGCACTAAATAAAATCTTATGGCCGATTTACAAAGAACTTTTTTTTTAAAACTATGACCTGCTCAAACCAGTTTTAGCCAAGTGCAATTTATTGTTGAGAACTACAGTATCAAAAAATAAAAAATGGTATTGAAAATAATTGTTTATAGCCTTCCTGTCGTGAGTCGTCAGTGCTCTTATTTTGAGCAGAAGCAAGGTCATGTTGTGTGTGCAAATAACAAGCCAGTTTATAAGACATGACTTAGCCATGCTTTGAAAAAATTAGAAATAGAGTTTAAGCTGTCTTTGGCCTTTTAAATTAGTGATTATGTGGCTATTGTTGCTGAAGCAGCTGCTTGTGTGTGTGTTCTAGACGTACACAGTTTTTCAAAAGCTGCCAACAAAATTGAGCACATATCATGAGAAACAGAGGATTAAACCTCAAAAAGACAAAGCATGGGATCTATCCTACAGTCATTCCAGCCTTCTTGTTTTCTGCTGAAAGTTGTGCTCTCTCCTGCAGCCTGAATGAGCTGCAAAAAAATGTTTTACAAGTGTTATAAAAATGACAATTTTAATTTATGTATTCATCTAACCTCACTTAACTGATGTTTCAGGTTATTACCTGAGTCTCTCTCATTCATAACCGCATCCAAACCAAAACATTACTATATCTGTGCTGCATGGTAGCAATTAGGTGTGACATGTTAAGTGTGCGTAAAAAGATCTGGTTTCTGAGTGTCCAACTGGCTGGACACTCAGGAGGAACCGAGATGAAAATCTGTCAATTTAGTCACCAGTTGATTTGTTTGTGTGTTTCTAGAAAAGACGTTGTGAGCTACTCTTTGACTCACTTGAAATTGTCATATTAGGTGGAAAATAAATTCTTTACTCATTCTTCTGGGATGCAAAGTGTCTCAGGAAACAAGTTTTTAACTGTAAATAGGCAGCAGCTTTGAAAACTTTCAGTTGTTTAACTTTCATTTGTCACATCTTTTTATAAATAACTTGCAGGGGAATGTGATCCGTTATGCCTCTCACCTACACACTGTCTTTCTGAACATGTCTCATAAAAATTATTTCATACAAATTTGGGTTACAGGAATAAACTGTGAAAGAAAATGGAAATGCAACACAATCAGTGTGGGATCTTTTTGATCCCACCACTTTCCACAATCCACTGCCATCCCTGAAATATTGTATGTCAATTCCCTTACCATACCGCATGTAAACACATCTCCTTTTATTACATTACAGCAGGATTATAGAAATTCAATGTTTTTGTTTTTCATTTCCTCTGGCTGTTTTTATTTCTGCCTGTTTCTTCGCACGCCTCACTTGTTCTCCTTCTGTAAGCAGAGTTGGATCATTTAGATTAGCTTTGCCTGTCTCTCTCCCACTGAGAACTCCACATGACTCAGCCACACAGAGACACATATTTGCCTCAGTCTCACTCTCTCACAGCCTTGCGTTGTGTTTAATTAGCACCTCGATAACATGAAAATATGCGTGCCTGTCTCTGTGAGATAAACTTGCTCAAATCTCACCGAGAGGTGTCAAGATTGGCAGCGAGGGTGGAATCTGATGGCTTTCTGCATATCCAGTCACACCCACTCAGCCGCACAGCGAGCAACTTATGGGTCAGTTTATGAGTAGCTTCTGAGTCTCCGGCCGTCAGTGGTAAGCTGGCGGTGCCTCTCTGTTCAACAGGCTAGCTGGCTTGTTCACAACGTTTGATGGCATCTTGTAAAAGAGTAGTCCTCAAACTGTGATATCATTATGCTATGGAAAATATGCTTGGGCTCTTTTCTTTATAGATCATAGTTTTTCTTTCTATAATCTTGACCAAAAGTCCAACTTTACTAAATGAGTGTTTTTATGATTATTCTAATCTGTCTTTATATTAGCTTTACACTGCTGCACTTCAAGGTTTGACAATCTGGGATGTTAATCAATGAGATATGAGTTGTAAGCCAAAGTTAAAGAGGTTATTAAAAGTTTGGTTAACTGATTGCTAATACATATAAACAGGCACATATAGAGGCTCCTTTTGCATGAATGTTGCATTAATTCAACATAGCATGGAGGCAATCATCAGTCTGTGATTTTGCTGAGACATGATGGAAACCCACGTGGTTTTGATACCAGACATTGTTTTACCAATTTTGATGTGGGAGTCATTCTTCTCTTGGAACTCGTGCTCCTGAATATCTAAACTCATGTTTTTAATCTAATTGTTACATCTTTTTGTTAAATGGTTGAAACGTGCAGATAAATTGCCCCCAAACACACCTCAAAATTGTTTTTTGTAATGTTCTTTGAATCGTTCCAGAACGCTGACCTAAGTCTGACCTAGACTGACAAAAAAATCATGTACCAGACTTGAAAAAATATTTTCTCAATTTCAACTGCAATGATTAGGTGACAGAGTTGGTATTTGGTTTACACTGTTCCCTCTTCTTCCTTTGAAAAGTCTGTGAAGTTCATTACCCCACCCCGGGACAGTAAAGGCTCAACTGCACCATACAGGGCTCCCAAAATTAAAATGGTTATTAAACCACGTTGAGTCTATGTATACGTCCAACTGGAACAGTACAATCCTGCATTGTCTGTCTGCACAGACTTGTGATGTACCTGGAGAGAGACCTGCGGAAAGCTACTCCTGTCAGAGACAACCCCAGCCAATCAGGATACCTCTGTCAGTGTCTGGATTTACTGCTGCTGCATTTTAGTCGAACTGCACCGGTGATAATGGGTAGGCTTGGAACACTCTCACTCACGCAAACACACACACACACACACACACAAGCTTTTGTTTTTTCACTCAAATTAAGTTATCTCAGTTTAAAACCTAATTTTAAGACTGTTGTATTTCTAAGGGCTTTAAAGTATATTGAAAATTGCACTCTTTCATTAATATCTTCATCACCATAAACAACCTTGACTTTAGTAAATGTATGGCCTTTTTACTGATAAGTAGGAGGCACTCACACTTTATTAGCCAGTCATACTTTTTTCCAATTCTATTAATTTTTTACCAAAATAAAGGAATGATAGAATCAAGAAAAACATAATATTTGGGTCTGTATTTAGGGCATCATCATTGTCACTGGCAACTTTTCTGCCTAATATAATACCTATTATTGGCCATTCTTGTTCATTCCCTTCCATTTTTTATGTCTTCATCTTTTCTCTTAAAGAGGATGTCTTGTCTGCATTGAGTGACGTGATTGGGAGGAAACACCCGTCTGCAGCTCAGAGTAGACAGCTGAAACAGACTTTGCCGACATTGTCTGTAGTTCTGGAGCTCCTTTCATCTCAGGTAACTTAATGGTTCATTTAATATTTTAGCAATGTTTTCAGTTGATGTTTTTAAGAAGTACCTATTTTGTTAAAACATGGAGTGTGAGTCAATTTACCTCTTGACTGTTTTACTTAGCTGACCTATGAGCCACTTTATTTTTGTTCTTGTTGGTCTGTTCATCTCTCTTCAGGTCTTCAGAGCTCGAATTGTAACCCAGGAGTTCCTGGTTCAAATTGGATTGCTGCTTGTAAGTGCTTCGTAAGCCACTTTTACTAACTGTCCATTTAGATTTTATTACAAACCATAGACAAAAACCAAAAGAGATGTTGAAACTAATTACAATTTGTATTGGATTTAAATCATTTCCATCTTTTATAGTAATCTTTATACTTACCCTCATACAGATTAGAGAAAAGAAATCTCTAAAAACTATAGGTGTTTGTAGTTCTACACATTAATTAAGTGATTTACATTACACTTGACAAATTGACTAACTCATATGACACATACCTATGAAAAAAAATACTAAATTTACAGAACATTACAGTCATTCTGACTGATTTCTTTGATTATTTTGTTCACTTTTCCCTGTATCCACCTTCATACAAACACTACTTACAATTGTATAGAATTATCTCATCTAATTACTGAGATATTTTTTCCTCAAAATGTTTCAAGGTTTATTGTAAACTAAATAAATTAGAGTCCTCCATGTGTTGTTACTGTTCTATATTTTATTTCACACTAAATATTTACTGGCTGAACCGTAGCATCACAGTGGAATTAGTAACCCAAGTTAAAATCCAACCTCTTACTCCATAAACAAACAAATCCCACTGCAGCATTGCAAGTATAACATAAGATTTCTGTGGTCTTACTGTTTTCTTCTTTCAGAACTACATTATTTCTGTGGAGTCGAGTGAAACTAACCTATCCAGTGGTGTGGGTCAGTTCTTTTGCATTAATTATTTTGTAGATGCCAAATGAGAATCCACAGCTATATCTGTAACCATAATGTATCGATATGAAGTCACTTAGCACTGATGTTTAGTATATATAATTCTTTAATACCCAGCTTTGGATCTTACACAGTTCCTAATTTTTAAAGTTACATTGACTCTTAATGTTATGACAAAGGCTAAACATTGCATTCTTTTACTAAACATTTTAAATAAGAAACAATACTCATGTGTGGGTAGGAAAACAGACACTGTCCTAAAAAGAAATGTGTGAATTGTGAATTCCAGTATGTATTTAAACTGCATCAGCGTTCAACCATTTTAAGCAATTAGGGAGTTTAATCCCTCAATCCTGATTCTGTGCTGCTGATAAATTTCATTCCTCATTAGGTGTTGCAATATGCGAAGAGCTGATTAGAACATCTCTGTCCATTGTGGAGGTCCTGAGTCAGCACCATACTCTAGTCACTCAGTATCATTGTGCTGTAAGTATATGCATATGTAGCTTCCTATACGTTTTCTGATGGTGCCCTGATTGAATTGTGCAATAGATAATTGATAGTGTGTATCTATCTGCATATCTTTTGTTTGTCTGGCTGTTTAACAGGCTTACATTTCCAGCAGTAAAGTAGCATACAGTAAATCATGTGTCTTGTTATATTCTTTAATACAGTCAGATGGGACATATTGAGTCAAGTTGTAACTCATTATGAAATGTCATTATATTTTTTAAGTTGCTAAGTTTGATTTGTATTGATTTGTGTCGCCCAGTGGGGTCCTGAACCTTTAATAAGGAACCACTGTGCAAGGGTATTTCATATTTTTATTGAACTTTATGCTCTAAAGATACACAAAAGTTTAAGTGTTTTCTGAGGACACTTCTCTCTTCTTGGACCACAAAACAAGCTTTACTCTATTTCACACTTTACTTTATCCCAACTGCACTTTAAATACATTCAAAGCTAAAATACAAGACGTTGTTTCTTTCTTTTATAAGTGTTAGTTGCTACTTGTCACTTTGTAAGTGAGTTTAAATAAAGATGGCCACTAAGTACCTGCATTGAATTATGTTACATAATCAGCCCACTTTGTCAAGTACATATTGTAACTCCTGGTATTATAGTGTATGTGCCCTTCACTATTTCTAACCAGTCGACTGATATCAGAGAACAGAGGGTCAACATGTGAGCTAATGGCAAGAAATTAATCAAATATTGAACCAAGCGAACCCCATCAGATTTGTGAGTGTACTGTGCAAGCGTGCATGTGTGGATGTGCATGGAATGGAACAATGAGATTGTATTTAATGACTATTGACGTATGGGAATGGAGCGCTGCAGGAAGCAGACAGGATGAAAAGGGAGAAAAGAAAGAGATGAGGAACAGACAATGGAGCAAAGAGGAGACCTGCAGCTACTGATTGTCAATAACACAGGAAGACACTTTAATTACCCCCAAGCCAGCTCAGATTAGCTTTTATTGCTTCTGCACAAGGACATGGGCTCCTACCTGAGAGAGCTCTAACTTCTCAACTGTAGTTTTGTAACAAGAAAAGTTTTCTCTTAGTTTGGTCTGTTTCAAAACCTTTCTTAATAATACCTTTTTACATTACTTCTATTGTCATCAAACCACATAAACAAGTCTGAAAAATGTAAACCAAGAAAATTAGTTAAAACACTAAGCTTAGCTAACATCTTATTGGAAGTAATCAGGCAAGCACTAGCATGTTGACATAGAGCCACATACTCTTGGCAGTGTGAAGAAAATCCCCATTTGCAAGCTAAAATTAGCTAAAAGGTAAAGCTAGCTAAAATACCATCGATAGCATTAGAGCGTTGGAAGGAAGGTTGAAGGAAGGATTTTTGGGTTTAGATTTAGATTGGAACCCAGACTAAATCAAAATGCGATCAAAAACTTGAAGAGGGATATTATGAAATCTGTAAAATTTATTTTAAAAAAGTTGAAACAAACAAAAGTAGTTAGATGTGAAAGAGCAACAATGTTTTGGCAGAATTTCTCAGAAATTATGGGATGATCCATTCATTTCAATGGGGCTTAAGACGATCACAAAGAGTTGAATTATTTCCTCTACCATATAAGATGTCGATACCAAAAGACATTGCCGCAGCGTCCTGAATGAGCAAAATATGGTAAAAGTTGACTGGTTAAAATTACACAAGAATGCAGAAGTAGTTCAATGGTAAAAAGTGTATGGAAATAAAGTGGAGGAACTCATTTTAGTCCCTGTTATAATTGAGCGCAGTCCAAAAAGTTTTGTTTATCGTACCGACAGGGGTTCCATAAATAAATGTAATTAATGTATTATATGCAGTGCTGCATCTATCTTCTAATGAAACAAGCTACTATTGATTTTGGGGGGGATTTTTTGCACCACTGGACAGTAGACAGCATGCTAACAAGGTAAAAGGGTCAAAACCACAATCACAAACAAATACACACATTCATGTGCACACTGGCTCCACCTAGCCTTTTGATGGCTCTGCTATTAATTTGCAGGCCATTAGGTAGTGGGCAACTTCCTTTGTAGTTTTCCTTCTTGTGCTTTTAATGTAATGACCTCACACACTGTGTCTGTGCTAGTCTTGTTTCTATGGTAATATTAGTAATCATGCAAATTTGTGGTATACAGTTCTTGCCTAAATAAGGGTTTGACAGTTCTGGAACATGCGTCTGTTTGATCCTAAAATAAATAAATAAATGAAAAGAATCACTCAGCAGTGAATTTCCATAGTAATTTGACCCTCTGTGACAGTGGTCTGCTTGGTTGATGCCTTCAGAATTAAGGCAATGCAGAGTTCCCTTTTCAACAAAATCTAAACACACAGCCAGTTTATTACCCGGGTTACTTTAGAGGGTATATTTCCTTTTTTCCTCCTTCCCACATAAGACAACAAGGATGCAAAAGACTTAGCTGTTAAATGGATAATAAAGGTTCAGTTCAGGATTCTTTGAAGAGAGACTCCGTAAAAAGGTTAGAAGCAGTTCATATTTTATGTCTCATAGATTCTCTGGGTAAAAATCCTCAGAAGATGGAATCAATGGCTTTTTAGATTGTTATATTGGGGGGCCAATACCAAAGCATTTTTTTCTGTGAATGCTAACCTGTGGACATTTAAACCATCATTGTTGTCACTTCAGGTCATATAGGATTGCTATTAATAAAGGAGCAGATTATTTTTTTACATCATAACCAATGTTCTACCTTTTTTTGAACATAATACTTGTATGTAGAGCATTTTCAGATAATATAGCTGTCTGATATAAAAGTAAAAAGCATTTTAATGTTGTTAGCGGGGCCTGCGGATGGATTGTAAGGGTGCAGGATAATAACCACTCCAGGAGGAAATAATATTGATCTTCTTTTAATGGAAATAAGAGAACAGGAGTACAGCTGGGTGGTTTATGTGTTCCAACGCCGATGCAGACGAACTTTACACGTCCACACCAGTCAGCGAGCATCCACACAAAAACAAAGTCCTCCCGACAAAAACATCCCCCTGGAACACACAATCCCTACATGCAGAGTAATGCACAGTAACGCACTTCCTCAGATCAACCTAGCAAGTATGGGAAATAAAGCTGGCATAAGGGGAAACATGCAAGTACTACAACATGCTTTATTATTTTGTTCAAGGGTTTCTCTGACCTGAAACTCTCACTACGTGTTTCATACAGTTCCTATGCAGACATGACTGCATAGGTTCGTAAAATGATGTTCCCAACAACAGCTATGATGTTTCTGAGGTTGAACTTATGGGGTCTTCGTTTAGCTTCATTCTAAATGAAGACCACATGAGAGTCATCTGCTGCACATATGATTTTAACTGCTTTTTACCTTTTAACAGACCCTTACTGCAGAAAATCACGAACTATCCCTTTAATGTGGCATATTGGGCAGTTCAATTTTCCTTTTACATACTACTTGATACTATCTTCCTTCTGTTACTGCTTGATGTGATTTGTTTCACGTTCTCATGTGATCTCCTGCTGGACTTGCGTATCGCCAGACTGTAAATGATTCTGTCACATTCTGTCTTCTTCTGTTCTTGAAGGTTGCGGATGCTGTCCTACCTCCTCTGACAACTCTGGCTTTCAGCAGAAATGGTATGAGTGGTGTGTCACTTTTAATAAAGCGAATTAGACAGAATAGCAATAGAAAGAGAGGCTAGTATCAGAGTGCTTGGGAGTGGGAAGGAACTGAAAAAGCTGAATAGCAAGTTTTCAGGGATCGGATCATTTTAATAGGAGAAACAGACTCTCTTTTTTTCCATTCCCTGTCACTTGAAATATATCTGTTATAGAACAAAAGAAGGTGTTTGTAATGTGTTGATGGTTATGGGCATACAGAGGGATGGTTAGCGGGGGAGTTATGTAATGAGTCAGGGTGGAAATCAATGGCTAACAAGAAGCAAGTATAAACCAGAACAGATAACCTTGAATTTTTAAGGTGGAGAATCGGTAGAATCACTCTTAACAGTAATTTAAAACATTGTTTAGTTTTAGACCCTCCGTGAGTCATTAATGTGTAGTCGCTGTGGGTGCCCACTGCCCACACAGCAGAGCTGGCTGTTAGGGTAAAGGAGGGTTTTGTTTGCCATTAACATCTTGTTTCCTTGTTACTTGTTGTTCCATTTTAGTCTAAAATGTTTTGTAACCTTGAGCCTTTGGCTGTTTTTGTTAGCATGTTGTTTTCTTTTATTCTCTTTATACATTTTTATCATTTCTTTTCTATATTGTAATGAGGCCACTTCGTTAGCTATATTAGTTGTGCTGTTTAAGCTCATGTTTGCATTGTAGCACCATTTTGTTCGTATCAGTTTTTCCTTTAAAGAAGCTGACATGGCGAGCAATGCTTGTGATCGAAATAAACAGCTGCACCTTCGTTACAAGCTGTCTTTTAGTTGATTCAATGGTTTCTTAGTAGATGAGAGGATTTCAGGTAAATAAAATGTTGCATCTTTGCAATCAAAAATCAGAAAGTGATGTCCATAAAACATGGCATGCTGTATTTCAGTTAAATAACAGCAATAGCACATGCTGGTCTAAAGGCGTCTATTTATTACAGATGCATGAATGCCAAACTGTCAACACAGATTTATATTCAGTTTCTCTTTCTCCCCGTTACAGTGGAGTGGTCGGTGTTTGTTTTGAAGGTGCTGTCTGAACTCAGCCTGGTTATGCTCGTCCAAAAAGATGATGAAAATGCTGATGAAAATGAGGACAAAATAGAGGGAAAGAGATTAAGGGGAGAGACAGAAGGAGGAGCAGCTGAAAGAAGTGGAGATGGAAGATCCTGCAGCCAAGTCTTATCTGTTTTCACCAAATCTCTACTTTCAAGGTTGGTTAGTCTCCCAAATCCTTTCCTGACAGACTATTTTTAATTGTGGTTTTTGTTTGTTTGTTTAAGAAACAAAGAGAATTTTCTGGCTCTGAATGGCATTATATTTTGTGAAAATTTTTTAAAATAACTTTACTGTCTTTATGTCTTTATCAGTAAAAATATTTTTTATGACTATTAAGAACCTGTTAGTCTCATAAAGTTGGTATTTTGGTTTTTAAAAACAAGAAGCAGTGATGCTCGACATAGCAACCCTAACATCAGTCTAGTAAATCAAACGGAGCTAATATTAACAATCGATGCTTATATCAGATATGAAGATCAACCAAATCCCTAAAAAGGAACATTATGCTATGATTTTACACAACTACGTACATGTGTTGATTTACCAATTTACTCCCTTTGTTACCTTTCAAAGCCCAGTTTTAAAAGGTTGAAGCTACTGATTTTTTTCCTGCCCTCTAACTCCCTTTTTGCATTACTATAGCTTTAGTCACCTCACCTTCCTCTGGCGAGGCATCATACACTAAATACTAAACTTGTTTCTGCCCAGGTTTGAAGTTCTTCTTTGTGCAGCAGAACCTATCCCACTCTATGCTCTGAAGCTGCTGGTATCAATGACTGAGCACAGCACTCAGATCTGCAGGTACCACACAGGCAAACCACGACTCACATTTAATCACTCAAATATCTAAAGAAATACGCATCAAAATGCAATTAATTGACCTACGTGGGTTGTATAATTAAATAGACCTAGAGAAAACCTTTCACGCTAATCATTCTGAAGTAACAGAAATGTTATGTTTAGTGGAGACACCTTCTAATTCACATTGCATACTTGTTCTTATTTAAATGCTTTGCAGTCCTTGCAGGTACTGATACAAACACCACAGTGTGTAAAGTTTTAATTCCAAGGCCAGTGATTCCTAGTTCAGCTCTGTGAATCACTATCCAGGCGCACACATGCATAAATGCACGAACAAACACAGACTCGCTTGTATTAGGAGCAGTGATTTATCTGCTCTTTGCAGGATACAAACACACCCGAATGATTATTCAATGCAGATGATGCAGATTCACAACTAACAGTGAGAGCAACTTTCCAGCAGCAGCACTGCTGGTGATCTGTATTCAAGTGGACCTGTTTTACCTTTTTTAAAGCCAGACGTCCCTGCGTTAGTAATCACTTTAGTGACAGGCATTAGGTGCAACATAAGCTTTAAGTGTGTACTGAATTGACACGTTGCGCTGAAAACTCTCTGTGAACGAGCTACTCCTGAAGAGATTTGCCTAAAAATGTAATGCATCCTCTTTAAATATACAACGCTAGGACAAAATTATCTCTGCATAATGTAGAAGGGATTCACTATCCAGGAATTTAAAAACAACTCTTGTGAAGGAAGTCATCTGGCACCAAAATAACAAGAGATAATGATGTGTTGCTCTTGCAGAGAAAATCTGCTGATTCCTTGTCTAACCATGAGATGCCTTACCAGGGTGTGTGAGTCTGCGTGTGTATGTGTCTGTGTTTAATGTGTTCATTGGTTACATTAGCATGGTTGCACTGTGGCTTTTGGCTGACTGAGCTTTACTTAGTTCACTTAGCTCCCAGTGAGTGAAAATGGCTATTATAGAGTTATGACAGCATTTCTGGAGATCTATTGAGCAAACACAAGGAGTGTTGATTCTACTACATAAACTATCACAATATTTAATTCATATTTTGGTTCATGTTTGTTGGGTTAATTTCACAAGCTAATGTGGTTAGTTAGTTCATGTGGAGGATAAATCTGCTTTACGTCATGGTAAAGCATTTCCCAACTTATGACACATAATCACACTTTGTAATGAAGTTATGGTCTCTGTTTTGTTTATAAACTTGTAGTCTGAGTTATTTGTGTGGGGTCTTATGTTGTGATTGTTTATATTATTATATCATATTCCCAATTAAAAATAGCACAGTTGTTTTCCTCTGTTATCCTCTCTAGGCAGATTTTCTACTGTTGTTTTCCACTTTGGTTTAACTTAGTGTAACATCTTGCAAATGATCCTGCCTACCTCCTGCGTGTGCATCGGTCCTTTTCCTTCACCTCAATTCATGATGGATGCGTACTTCTTCACAATATCCTCCCTGTTTTGTTTTTTTTACTTTTTTTTTTTAACTTGAAGAACTATTTATCACTAAGTATCACATATCAGCTGCACTTTTAACCATATTTACACATTAATTAATAGATATGTTGATGCTCTCAAGCAACCAAATGTGGAGAAAGAAGTAAATGTAATTATGACAATGTGATTAGATTATGAGGTTTTCAAACGTCAGCACTCAGAATGTATTGTTGTGAAAATAAATCCAAATTCTTATCATGACACAAAATGTATAACAATAAATGCCAACCCCTGGTAGTTATAAGCTTTTTAACAATGTAAATAGGGGTTCATGCTCACCCATAATTTGGTGGTGATGTCTACATGAGTTTAATGTGAGTGAATCTTTATTCCATGGTCATCAATCTCGTCACTTGTGTAGTTACTAGAGATGCACACTGAGAAAGAATTTGGTTACCTTTCATCTGGATGAAAGGTAACAGAAAGATAAATAAATCACAACACTGAAATCTGCATGTTTTGCTGTCAAAGACTTTGTGTAGCTGTTAGCGATGCTGAGGTCAAATGTGGTTTCATATTTTCTCTTAATATGAATTTGAATAAGACAACATTTATGCCCAAGTTCTGACTTGTGGATTCACTCATTAACCTTTCAAATCTTGCAGCATTTAATTTAAACCATTACATTACCTTTTGTTTTTTATTCCGATTGCTTTTTCTGCTCGATTTATCTCTATTCACCTGCTCTCCGTACATTCCCAACCACCAATTCTCAGAGTTAAAAGTTCATCTGCATAACTAAATACGTCCCCACTTCTCTTATCTGTAATTTTCCCCACTCTTGTCTTCATCCTTCTCTTCCTCCACCTCTCCTCATCTCCTTCTTTCCTTGACACAAGTAGAGTGACGTGAACTTTTCAAATTGGTGTCAGCCCACTCTCCTCTTTACATCTGTTTTTCTCGTTGAGTTTTTTCATTCCCTCTGTTTGACATTATTAACAACATTTAACATTTTTTCCAATCTCCGTCGTTCTCTTTCTCTCTCCATCTCTAATTTATTAACATCATTCCACATTTCGCTCTTTCCCTTTGCCCTCACTCCACAACTTTCCCTCCATCGCTTCGGTTTTACAATCAGAAATTAAATTGCCTGGGTCTTGGTTAGATAAGTGTGGCTATGAAGCCAGCCGAGTGGTAATTAGATGGTAAATTGGGGACATTAACGTTAGGAAGGGAGCCTGCTGTCTCTCTCTTCATTATCACAGTCCACACACCTTCAAACAACTACATTTACTATGACCTTTAGCCAAAGACCTCTTCCTGTGGGGTTGCAACTGCGTTTTCCCATCAATGTTTAATGCTCTTAAATGTCTGCCTCTGTGGGAAATGTGTGTTTATGTGTTGTAGCTAGCTTTCCAAACAACACATTTTATTTTGGGACTGTGTATAGAGATATATTATGCACACACAATTATAGCAATAAAAATCTTTATTGGCAAAATTTGTACTTGTTTGTGCAAATTATACACAAGAAAAGTTTAAATAAAGAAAATAAATTTTACAAGAATTTTATATAAATCAAACACTAAATGTTTCCATCAATCAGAATGCTTCGATCTCAAAATTATTCCACCCCACCTAAAAAAGCACGCATATACAAATTTCAGTTATCATGGTTAGATCAGGGGTCATAATTTGGGTTGTTTTAGAGTCACATGATCAATAATGGAAAACAAGCACAAATAAATAGAATTAGGTTATAATTCTACAGAAAATGATATACAGCTCTCCTTAGCTATGCGTAAGATTTAAGCAGGTTACCAAATTACACAGTTGTTTTGGTAAATATATAATGAAATGGTTTGTTGAAAGTAGGTTGGGACATAATGGGGGTATGAATTGGCCAAGAGGCGATCATTTTTCTCCCATGTGTGAGCAAATACATAAAAAACATTTTGAAATATTGTTAATTTCTCTGTATTTTCTTCATTACAATACAAATCACTGTAAAAACTGTTTGATAAATGTAATTTATGGCTTCCATAATGAGGATTGATTAATCAGTGTTTGCTCTGCTTTTGGTCATCCGTTGTGCTCTGGTTCGTTCGGTGTTGTGCACTTTGTCAATTGATGTATGGCTGGTAGTTTAAAGGTGGTCCAGTTTATCATGTTGTGCTGGCCTGGCCTGTCCTCTCATCTCTCAGCCTGTCAGTTCCATAATGGGGGGTCATCCATCACGTATACAAGCAAACACAATCACACACACGCGGAGACTTTCACACACAAACTTACTCAACGCTCAGCTTTGAGGAAAACAGCTGAATGCAGTGAACTTAAGCAACAGCAGTTACAGATGTTTAATCAGTGTTATAAGCTCAAATTATCGACAATAGAGTCGCAGATGTAGGTGATGAATTTCATCACAATAAAGGATGAAAATTTTAGTTTTTAACAAGTGAGAAAAGGAGCAGCTGGAGAATAAATGTTTCCATCATAGATGCTAAATCCAACATCTCTTAAACTTTCTCCACGCTGTGGAAAATATCAGCACATTCAGAAGTAGCAGATACGAACCAAAGTATGAGCTAACTCTTTCCCCTCGAGAGTTTCTAGTATTGAAACACTCTGATGTTAAAAATTTATGCCATAACAGTAAAACAAGTGCTTGATTTAATAAATCTCAGTTTGTTTTGCACACGGCTGAGAATTTGGGGTAATGGTGTGGAGAATACGCTCTCAGTAAACATACAAATTTTATTGATCCTAAAAAAAATTTGAAAAAAAAAAGGTAATCGGACTGCAGCAGTGTTGGACAGGTGGAAGAACAGCAAAATGAAAAGAAAAGGAAAAAACTATATATGTATATAAGAAAAAGAACAATTTGAGATGAGACTTTTGAAATGTTTGTTGTTTTTAGATGCATCAGACTTAATATTTAGAATTTTCAGCTAGAACATCTTTACCAGTGGCAGTGTGTTTGCACACTTTAACGCATCAACACCCGTCTGTTTCGATTTAACTTTGTTCCCATTATGACATGAATGCTTTAATCCTTCAAAATACACATATATGTAAATAAGGCACCTATTTAAACCGATTTAGATATTTTGTTCAGATAGTAATTAAATGTATATCAAAGAACCTTAATAAATTAGAGAAAAGATTGTGAAGCCATTTCTTTCCTGCCCTTTTCTCCGTCCCATCTATATACCTTTTGTCTTTCAAAGGGGGTTGATCCACTTTCTTTCTTCTTCTCCTCTTAAACCCTCCTTTTTTTTCCCCCACCATCCCTTTGTCTTCTCTGTTGAAATCTGCTCTTTTATAATCCCACACTTCTTTCTCCTTAAAGAATATAATTGCCTTCATCTTCTCTTCCACTCACGTTCCATCCCCCGGTCGCACCTTTCCTTATTTCATTTATTCTCGTCACCCCTGCTCTGTAAGAAACTGAAGAGAGAGCTCCTCTTTTCAGTTTCACTGGTGCCAGAAAGGCGTCGGTGACGTTAAATCCGTCCTTAATGAAGATTAAACAGTCCAATCCACATTTATATGTCTGCAAGACTGTGTTTGTGTGCAGATCATGCATGTGTGAGGAGTATAGAAGATCCATAAAATGAATTTTGACCTTGGTTTGTCTACAGCTCTTTCAGTATCTGTATTCTCTCTTTTTCAGGTTGATCAATCAGGGCAGGATCCTCCCAGTTGTCTTTCAGCTCATTATGGTAAGAAACAAACAATGTAATAATGTTTGTCGATCAACTATTCTTAAAATCAGCTGAGAAAACAACAGATAAGACAAACTTGTGTGTATATTTTGTATAGAAATGCACCAATCAGTCAACTAAGGATTTTAATCATTTCCTCCCTCTTTAGTTCTGATCAGTGATTGGTTGGTCAAAACCTAAGTAAATATGTTGTGTTGTTCGCTTAATGCAAGCAACATGACCAACATATTGGCCAGTATTTTAATTTTCATGTAAAATTAATGCATTTTCAATATTTTTTCACCTATTTTTACTTTAATAATTTTTGTAACTTTTTCCTTTTTCAGTGAAAACAGGATTCCTCTTGTATGAACTAGAGTAGCGAGGACATAATAAACAGCACCAACAATATGTGAGGCTGTAGGAAGGACTTCGAAGCTCTTCCAGTTTCCTCGTCTTCAGACTTAACTTATTAAATGCATTTAGACTAAGAGCACCCACCATTTTCAGTCTATAAACAGTTCAACCAACAGCATGCACTTTGAAGCACTTTTTTGAGTTTAATGAGAAATCTGACAAAGGTTTGGGACATGCGCTTTGACACATATATGGGGATTATCCTCTTAATTTATTCATTTTCTCTTGGATCCACAACTACTGGCTTTATCAAAAAAGCTGCAGGGCATTTTGTCTTCTTTAATGTGTTACAGTACCTAAAATAAAAATCTGAATCACTTAAAATCGAACCTGTCGAATTAGACAGCACTGATCAGGAAAGCCTGATCAGTGCATCTCTTTTTTGATTCCTCTCTCAGTCTTGCTCTGCACTTTCTCTGACTCGCTCCATCCAGCCTCTATGCAAATGAGTTGGAGTGGCGTTGACCTATTAGAGGGCTTGTGTAATTGACTGGCAGGTCAGCACGAGGGAGGAGGGATACTTAATAGACTTGGAATATGAACTCCACTGTTCTCACCCAATGCAAGACCTCATGCACAAACACACAACACTTGTCTGTTATCACTGGAGCATAGAAGCGTTCCCAGCAAACAATTTATTTCCCCTGACCCTTTTTTGCTAACACACATTCTATTGCACCCACTCAACATAGGGCAATCTGTTTGCAGCTAACTAAAATACTTGTGCTGCAAGAAACAATTTCTCCCCCCTCCTTACACACACACACACACACACACACACACACACACACACACACACACACACACACACACACACACACACACACACACACACACATGCATCCACACCCATCCTAAATAATGAGCGTTCGACATGGCTGCTTTCACAACCGTGACTAGCTGATGCAGAATTTTTAAACACTCTTATCCAACAGCCTGATTAACTCGTCTCCTGATTGTTTACTGCTGTCTGAACCACTCATGTCTGGGTCCATTAGAGCTGTCTGTGTTGCTCACCTATGGATTGATTTATGTTGCCTGAAATCCTCTGATCAAGACGGAGCACACCTGTCACTCCTGATCACACTTCTCACAGAGAAACTCTCTTAATTGTATTTGTCTACATGATGAAGTAGTTCTGCTTCAAACATAAAAGGACCTCAGCGTGGTGCCCAAAATAGACTTGTTAACTATTAGCTTGCTGAGCCTTTGCTTAGATTCATTTGCTTACAGTAGACTCTTGTTAGTTACATTGTTGTAACATGAGTTCCTAGGATCCAAATTAAAATAGCCTCTACTTTTGCTCGTTATTATTGTTCAGTTTAGGCTTTTTTGTACTGACTATAAAGTATTTTGTGACCTTCTTAGGTCATAAAAATCAAATAGGTTTAGCATCATCACAAAAAGGCAGTTTGTCCAAGGTGTGAACGGATGCCGTTGTCTTCAGCCTCAGGCAACTGCACCTGATAAGTACCAGCCTGACTTTGCAACCCGTACACAAATCACACTGATGTACGCAGACCCTGGAGGCAGAGCTAGCATATCTTTAAAAGGATCAAATGCTGAAATGGGGCCAGGAGAAAGAAGTAATGGCAAAAAGCTGTAAAAGTAAGGATTGCAGATCCTAATAGTAGGTGAAAGTGTTAGCTGGAAGGAGTGAGGGTAGAAGTTAAGGAGAAGGAAGCAGTAGGAGGAAGGTTAAAAGCTGCAGTTTGAAACATTGTTTCTTCTTAAAATAAACAATTATCTTATATTAAACCCCTACATTTCTCCAGTACTATTAGAAGAAATACATAATTGAACCTTTTAGTTCTAGTTTTGCCCACCAAGGATCAGTTTGTGCAAAATATGACATCTGGTATTCTTCCCAGAGAGAAACATAGCTGCTTTTTGTTTCGTATGCTTCTATCAATAGAAGTGTCACAGCAAATCTGCCTGAGTGTACGAGCACGCAGTCTGTGATAATAACAAAAAGATCATTAGGATGGCACTATTTTCTGGGATGGCGCTGACAGCTGTGTCTGCATAAGGCAGCGCTTGAATTAAAGCCGAGCTCCACTGACGCTTCATACTGTCAAGAAGTTAAAACTCAAACCTATGTCTAAAAAAAGTCATTGCAGATCACCTTAGCACATTGAGGCAAATTTGTTAATCACTTTTAAAGCACTGTAGAGATGCAAGGTTTTTGGCTGACAGTGGCAAAAACATTGTCAGATTATAGTGCATTTGATTTGGTGTCAAATGAAATGCAAAGTGAATCACAATCACCCTGCAGAAGGTATTTTTCCGTGTTTTTATAAACTGTGCTTATATAGAAAAGGCATAAGTAAAGTTTACATCCTTCCTTTTATCCATTTCCCACTTTTTCACAGTTATTTTCTGGTTAAAAGTAGAGATGTAAAACTTTAACTTTTGGTTGATTGCATGAGTAAAACTGAAAGCTGACCTTGCATCCAACTTTCCTTCAAGGCCAACAGTGTCACCAGTGGAACAGTCCAGAGCGCAGTCGTCCTGTTGTGTAATCTCAGCGGAGACACAGTGAAGAATCACCAACAGCATCAGCAAGGTACAGTGAGTGTGCACTCTGCACCTATTTCCTCTTCTGTTTGTGCCATTTTAATGTTTTGTTTGGTCAGTGGAGGAAGCGAATTAGAGAATAAGACCTGAGAGGACAGCGAATTTTAAAGTTGTCAAATGGTTCTTAAAATGTCAGCATTTTGTGATGTATTAAGAATATTGTCCACCAGCAATGTCACATATATCCTGTAAAGTTCAACTGAAAATCAAACAAATTTATTTGGAAAAAAAAAAGTAAATCATAAAAGCAGTAACAATGTAAATGAAAATGTGTTTATCAAGCCAACACTGATAAAGTAGCTTAAAGTAGAAATGATTCATCCAGGTGTCATTGTTTTACATCAGAAAAATGTGACAGTTTTGTCATCCACTGTATCCACTGAAGCTGTGGTGCAGGTGATAAAAAACATTTTTTTTACTGTCAGATACAGGCTAGTACTTTCTTTAACATTGGGTCATTCATGCACCATCTAATACAGTTGCAAATACATGTTTAACTGTAGATTCAAAAAATAATAGATATTTATACGCAAAGCTTGAACATGCATAGATGCATGCAAAAATCCAAACTAGCAGAAATGACAGTAAAAACAGAATCTTACATACCACTGGACTGTTCAGTGGTCATAAAACACAATTCTCTACTGCTTCCCTGGAAGCCCCTGTTAATTTGTCTCCATGTCGCTTTCACTGACTCAGTGAGCATCTCTCCATCTTTTCCTGGGTGAGCTCAGAGCCAGCATCTCTTCTTCTATTTCCATTGGGTCAGCAGTGCAGCAGTTCACTAGTCAGCATCATTATCATCCAATCAGCCCCCCTACCAACAGGAAACTGTCAACCCAGCACTAACACTGGCCTGGCAATTAACACCATCTCCACTTCTTTATTGCTTCTTCATTCCTCTCATGTCCTTTCTGTTTTGTTTTTGACTGTCCCGCACTTTTCCAAACTAATCAGCGCCTACTTTTACCCCCCTCCACCCTCCGTGTCTCCCATCATCTCATCGTCTTCTGTTTTGTCTGTTTTCAGTTTTACACATCCCTCGTCACCTATTTTTGGCCCTTCTTCTCCTCTCTCCGTTGTTTTGGGAGTCGCTCACTGCAGATCGGTGTAGTGATGGGAGAGAACAGGGGAAAGGGGAGCGGAGAGGAAAGCAAAAAGGGAAGAAGCGTGAATAATTGGCTTTTTAAGGTGTGACAGAGAGAGAAAGAGAGAGGAGGGTAGCTGTGGTTTGCGAGTCTGTGTGTGTATGTGTTGTTAGACAATGAAATAGGCAGTGAAGAAGAGCAAAACAAGGTAGTGGGTTTTTGTGTGCTTGTGCAAACGTGTCTGTGTGTATTCCTCCGTGGACGTGCGAGGCTGAGAGAAGATGTGTGCGCGTGTGGAGCAGAGGATTCAGAAGAACCCAGCATCTGTGTGTGTGTAACAGAGAGAGAGGAGATGAGGTTTATAATTGGGCAGATTTGCCTCTGACTGAGATAATACCCCCTGGGGAATGAAGACAGAGATAGGACAGAAGAAGGGAACAAGAAAAAGGAAGAAAAAAAAAAGATGGCAAAAAAGAACAGGAGGGAGGGAATATACAAGGGAGCCAAAACACCAATATGGGAAGTAAAAATGGTTGCAGAAGGGTTGATGGGAGGAAGAATGGGATAAACAGGCCTACATTTAGGTCAGAGACACTTGGGAAGGGGATGGGATTATAGAGGAGAAAATTGGGAGGTTAAAAATGAGTGACAGCGATGAAGAGAACCAGCAGGAGAGAGATAACCTGATTCCACAGTGAAATGTGATTTCAAAATAAAGTTTGCTTTAATGTGCATGCTCGTAGATTGCTCGGTTTTAATTTGGGCGCATGCAGCAGACCGACGGAAACTGTCTAGGCTGTAATCTGATTAAATAAAAGATACGAAGCCTAGGGCTCATCCACTGAGAGGGAATATGAAACCTGTTTTGTAGGCACACTGACGAGCAGACTGACAGATTAAATAAGGAAATGGACACATTGGGAGCATCAGAAATTCACTCTTAACAGTTCAGAAGTGCTTAATGTGTCGAAATGTCTTTGAACTTGGTGTGGACAAAACATGAGACAGCTTCATCTTTGATTATCAAAAAACACTTCACAAACCATTCCATGCTTATATGGAAGGTATATAATTTTTTTCTTCTTTCTTGCATTTTATTTCATTTTTTGGCATTTTGGCAAACTGCTTCAGTGTATGTGCTGCTTAATGTTGATGCAATTTACATCAATAAGTCATCCTTCAAAATTTGTTTCAGGTCATTTCCCAAATGGTGTCCCAGGAAACTGCCACATATATATGAAATCGATCATTTTGCTTTTTAGCATAACACCAAGATTTGTCTTCCATATTAATGTTTTCCTAATAGCAAGGCTTCCAGAGATTAACTGAATTGACATTTCTTCATAGTGGAAATCAATGGTATGGTTGTTCTCCGAGCTGAAGACACATTGACACTTTTTTTTCTCCCTCGGTATTCAATGAAACTAAACTTTTTTTTCTATTATAGGTCAATTAGCTTCACCAAAGTCATTAAATGTGCTGAATGCCAGAATAATCAGACATAGAAGTTTGTTTATCTGACTCAGATTGTACTGAGTTCAGGAGTTACCCATTCATTCCCAAGCTTTAACTAAAATTTCAAAGAATTTCTGTATTTTATATTGAAGGGATGCCAATTTATAATTAAATATTAAACGTTTTTTAATAATTAATTTATTTGCGATGTGTTTTTTATTATTTTAATTATCATGAACTAAAATGTTTTCTTGGCCATTTGCGAGTCAGATGAGTTTTCCTCTTCGTTCCTCTGGTGCTGACAGTTGTGCTCTGAGCATTTCGGTGTGTTGTTTCCCAACAGGACTGATTTAAATCCCATTTATAAATAGATAACTCTGCTAAGCTTTTGCACATCTATTTTTAACCTAGATGATGACAAAATACTAAAATAGAACCCTGCAAGGTAACTGCTTACTGTTATCATCATCATTTATTTATTTATCCATATATCTACATACTTTTGTTTGTTTTTTTTTTTTTTGGGAGGGGGGTTTGTTTTGTTTTTTGCTGTTCATGCCATTACTGAAATATTCCATATTACTTTGCTTTTTATTATTTTTATAGTGTAGCTGTCTGCCTCCAGATTAGGTTCTTGCACATCCATAACATTCTGACAAACATGAAAAAAACTTAATATATGATATTGACAAAACCCTCGTTATAGAATCGAAGTCAAATTCTATGACTATTTGGTATGTTTTCTTTGTTGCTATCCCTCCCTCATATGCCTAAATTTGACAGCTTGCACCATTACAACCCCAAATCTCCCAAAAACAACTTTTTGAGAGATTCTCTCTGGACTTTATTTATCATTTAATCTACAAGAAAAGTATTTGACAAACCTTGTTTTCAGGCTGTCCTGTCTCTAGTTTCAAAACTTTACTTGCAGTTTTTCCCACTTCTTCAGATATATTTCAAACATAACAGCAGAGGTTGTTTTTTTTTTTTTATTTGAGTTGAACAGCCCAGTGCCGTCCAACGAAATAATTTGCCAGTTTGGCAGAGTAACGGTACATTTGACTGATCTTTCTAGAGCCTGCTATGTTAGTTACACTAACAGAAACCGAGCACTCATCTGCTTCTTAACTAAAGACCTACATGAACTAAAAAAGAAAACTGGATGAGTTTTCCCATTGAAAAGATGGATCTAATATGTTAATTGGTTTAAGGGCATCTGCTGCTTTTCTTTTTCCTGAGAAACAGACAAGAAGAGCCAGAAGTTACTATATAACTGTATTCATTAGGATCCATAACTCATGTTCAGCTTGTATTTTACAGACATTTCTGTTTAGGTGTTCTCGGTTGTGGTTGCCTGCACCGTCTCTGGAGGCTCATAACAGCTTGTTAAACTTATTTCAAAAGGGGAGGTATGTTCTGTCAAATATAATGAGCAATGGAAGGTGAGTCTGTGTGTGGTGAAAGTAATTAAGGTTAGCTGGATCATATTATAAATATTGGTCAGTCTCTGTGCCCTGAACCATTTAAGAGAAGCAGATTGTGTTATTCTTTCTTAATAATCCCATTAATTAAGTTTGTTTTAGTCATGGCGCATGTATAAACAGTAAATGGACTGTTTTACCAGAAGGTGATACTGTTTTTTTGGTGCAAAATAAAGTTGCTGGGTTGAATTTATGTTGAATATTAAACTCATCCTCTTGAGGAGAATGTTGCTACTGAAAGCACATTTTCTTTTTCTTCCTTGAACTTTATTTACTCATAACCATTACAAAATGATGTAAAGGGCCAAGAATAAAAACCAGTTGAGCTTGGCAGCTGATGTGACGGTCCCAGTACACCCAAAACACCCTGGCACCTTTTCTCATTAATTCAGGTAAGACGTCTGTGATGTTGTCTCTGGTTCAGGAGAGGCTTGATATGCCAAATGTGACATCTGTAGCTCATGTCTGGTATTTGTCTGGCTATGGTGGCTCTTCTGGAATGAATTTCTCTAAACCTGCGGTTCTCCCTGTTCCTTTTGCTACCACATTTCTTCCTTCCACTCAATTTTCAATAAGAATCGTTATCACAGTATTCTAATTCTCTGAGACATGATGTGTAAGCTATAATTATCAAATTTATAACAAAGGAACTGGATGATATCAATCTTTCACATGATGATTTATTTTTATAGGAGTTTCACTTTCTGAGATGACTGGCAAAAAATCTTGCACTTTCTTTTAGACAAACTAGTACATATACACATTAAATAAATATTGTGATTCTGGTCATGACCAAGTTTGGGAGAGAGAAATAAAAAAAGTGGCTATCTCAATAGCAAAATGTCATTCTTTCTAACCCGAGTGGTAACTTTATGTGAGTTTGAAATCTTTAGAAGTTTTTCTGAACTGACAAATATGAAAGTCAGATTCAGCCCTGACTTGGAAGCACTTTCTGCTCCACAGAGCTGGTGGAGGTGCTGGTGAACACTCTCTCGGAAGCTGCGCAGGTTTACCTTGATGGAGAAAAGCTTGCTGGAAGGAAGATCAGCCTGGTTGTCCTGCAAGCTCTTTTGGAACTGCTACACAACGTCCTAAAGCAAACATCAGGTGTTGTGCGAACTGCACTGCAGGTACGACTGCTCAAATTAACAAAACCCTGTCGATCTTTACTATAGAAATATGTGAAGGACATAATATATCAATATGTATATTTATTTATTTCCTTACGTGAGAAAATTTCATGTGACTTGTTACATGTCTGCTTATAGGGTGTACATCACCTTGCAAAAATATTCTCATTTTTTGTTACATTATAACCAGAAACTTCAATGTATTTAAACAATTTATATAATAGACAAGCACAAAGAAGTACAATTTTGAAGTAGATAGAAAATAATATATGGTTTTAATTTTTTCTGTCCAGTAAAATATGTAATCCCCTTCACTCTAATACCCATAAATAAAATTCAGTAGAGCAAATTTTCTTCACATGTCAAAACAATCGTTAAGATGTCATGCAAGCATGTAGAAGACAGACCACATACATTGAAGAAGGTGTTCTGCTCTGATGAGGCAAAAATGTTCATGTCAAACACTGTGTGGAGGAAAACTACTCTGCTTCAGGTATGTGATGGTTAATCACCAAACATTTGTGGGGAAAAGAGTCTCTAAAAGACTTGACAGTAGTGCTGCAGATCCCTTCCCAGTGGGAAAGGGACCCCACACATTTTGCCCCACGCATTGTTCAATCAAAGCGTTTTTACGCGTAAGAATGACCCAGTCAAAGTCCTGACTTGAATTGAAATGAGAAACTGTGACAAGAAAAGAAAATTGATGTGCACAGTTTTGTCCATCCATTCTGATGGAGCTTGACGTATTTTTCCAGAGACTTGTAAAAATCTGAAGTTTACAGATATGACAAGCTGAAAGGAACCGAACTGGTATAAATGCAGTGAAATGCATTGCAGTGAAAACTGGTTCTACACTCAGGAGGGATGAATTCAATTTGATGCTTAGACTTTTATTTGTATATATATATATATATATATATATATATATATATCTTTTTTTTTTTTTTTTTTTTAACTCTGGTTTTCTTTCCACTTCACAATTAATATTAGTCTAAAATAACATTTTGGTAACACATTTAAGTTTGTAAAAAAAAAAAAAAGTTTAAGAGCTGTGAATGCTTTGCACACATTTTTAATTTTAAATTTTTTTTACTAATTCTTGGCCAGTAAAAAAAAAAATTTTTTACCGATACTTCTTCGGCAAGCCACATCGGACGACAAAAATCACAAAGTCATCTACCTCAAAATGTTGTCCTTCTGTCTTTTCCCCCAAAGGCGAGTGCGTGTGTGTTCGAGTGTGTGTCCATTGATGTACGAGGCAGAAGCAAGCAGGTTTAAGCAACTGCAATATTGAAGTTGTAGACTCAGGAGGAAGTGCATGAGGTCCCTGGGACACATACACACACACGCGCATATACACACACAGGCATATACTGAGGGGCCTGTCTGGCTATGTCCCTGCGGCCTCATTATCACCGCTGGCTTTGTCCTCAGCTTGCCTCACTATATAGACAGACACACGCATACACACAAACCAGCCCCCATCTCCCCATACTGTGCACCCCAGCCCAGTGCATACATATTAATGTCTGGACAACGGGGGGGGGACTAAAGTGGAAGGAGGGTAAAAGACTGGGTGAAAGAGAGGACAGAGAGGAAAGAGGGGAGAAGAGGAAGCATGGAAAGAGATGGAGATGGAAAAAAGGAACAAAGAGAATGTGCAGCAGGAATCAATTCCACCATAAATGCAAAGCTCATTAAAAAAGAAAAATTCTGCCTAAACCAAATTCTTTTGGGTAATAAGGTCCGATAAGGGAAGCGGACGTGACTCTGCCGCTCTTCCTAAACTGTTTTGCAGTTTGTCGAGAGAGTATGTCAGATATTTCAGCACAGTGGTGGGAGAAAAAAAAAATGCAGATCAGCAGTGACTTTGGTAGAGGAAGAGGATGTACGCCAGTATTAATCATCTTATTCCACTACTAATTGGCCTGAAGTGTCACTGCAGGCACAGACTGAACTAAAATAAGCCAAACTGTATTACGGGGCGCTAATGATAAAGGAAAAAAAAAAAAAAAACGCAGAATGCGAGAAGGTTAATTCTTTGTGGCACACCAAAATTACTTGGTGTGGCAAAGAAGTGTTCAGTCGATGTTGTCCTGAGGATCGGCGGCAATAACATCACGCAGGAAAACTATTTCCTATCTTAGTCTATCACATTGTCTTTTCGTGTCAGTCTATCAGAATAACTCTTGACAAGTCTCTGGATAAATCATTATTGACTGTCAAATCTCTATAAATGATTTAATGTGCGTGTGTGTGTGTGTGTGTGTGTATAGAGCCAGAGGCTATCTTGTTCAGCAGCAGAAACGGAGGCAGCAGAGAAACTGCTCATAGCCAACAGACCCTTGAGCCAACTGAGCACTCACCTCATCCACATGGTGAGACCTTACACTCGCAGCCTTTTAGTGTTTGTGCTGATTCTTTCTCCAAGCGTGTTTGTGTACGTCTCTGGATTATTCGCACTGCATGGCGAAAGTTTTTACGAACGAAGAACTTCGCCAGCCACAAACTCTGTTTCATCGGTGTTTTGTGTGATGGACTCACACAAAGCAGCACAGGATTCTAAAGTGGAAGGAAAGTGATGGTTTTCAACATTTTGGAAAATATATATATACATATGTATATGACAAGTGTGTTTTTTTTTGTGTGCTATGTTTTCACCAGTTTAACACATCTACACTGAACATTTCACATTATTCCTTTCAAAATGGCTCCACCTCAGATTGTCTGTGAACTTTGAAACTGGATTCTCGTTCAGTTTCTGATCTGAACTTTAACTGCACCATTCTGATAGATCCATATTCTTTGATCCAAGCCGTTCCATCACTGGAACTCGTTCAGTCAAGAGAATCTCCCACCTTCACATTGAGTCTCTGCAGCTCCTCCCAAGTTACCATGTCCCACTTTTCTTCTTCTCTGGTTAATGCTCTTCTTGCCCAGAAGAGCATTAAATTTGGGTTAGCTGTGTCTGTTTTTTTTTTTTTTTTTTTTTTTGCTGTTGTGAAATACTTTTTCTGTGTTCAGATGATGTCTTGAGCAGATCTGAAAAGCTTAAAATAGTTTCACAACAACCCTCTCTGCAACTTTATCCCTGACCTTGGTGTCGTGTTTCTTGGTCTTCCTGATGTTGAGAACGCCCTTTGCTCACATCCTCATGGAGCTTAAAGAGCTGCAGTGTAACAGCCACCCTCAAAACAAATTACATCTCCACCGTTCCCCCCATCATCTGTGAGATCGTGCCTTAACTTCACCTGCACGTCTCTGGATGAGTAAACGGCCTATCTCTGAAGATCAACGAGAGATCGCAAAATTCAACACAGTGATGCAGCGTGTCCCCGCATCCTTAAAAAGTCATTTTAACATAAGTAAAATGAAGGCCTTAAAATGTCTGAAATTCTTTGAAAAATATGTAAAGAGGTCTTAAATAAGTTATTCACAGGCCTTAACTTTTGCCTTGGCACATCTATTTATTACTATATATGCAATTTATTTTTCTTGTGGGACTTTTCTGTCAGACATCTTGATTACATTTTATGGTGTGAAGGAGAAGTGGTTACCACCAACTAGCTGACAATGCTAGCAGGCTAACTCTTTTACGCCATCATTGGAAAGTGTAAGTTTATCACCAGCTCGTCTTTGCCAGTGTTTTCTGTGAATCAAGCTTGGCTCTTCCTTATAAAATATGCAAGTTTCTTTAGTACATTTTGGCCACGACGCTTGTCTTAAATTTCCGTCATGATGAATTTAAAAAGGAGTCTTTTGAACATTCTCACATTCTGCCACTATTTTCTCTGCTGGCCATCAAATGTGATGTAGATGACTCTCCCGTTCCTTCATGTGGCCTCAAAATCTCAGTTCAAGCTGTTAATAGAGTCCAGTTTAAATTTAGTATCACAAAGTCTAAAATAAACTACCAAAATTCAAATTCTTCAAATGGAAATGTGACCTGTTCTCATCACCTGACATTTAGATTTAAATAGCCCTCAAAGCTATTGAGGGCTATTTAAATCTAGCCCTCAATAGGGCTAGATGAGCTGGGCAGTTTGGAGAAGACAGGTTCCCTCATAAAAAGAAAGAACTGTCATCTTTAATGAAATGTAAATGGATCAGAGAGTAAACCACAAGCACTGAATACACACTTAAACAAACTTAACAAAATGAAATATTGATATGTTTCCCATGTTCTTCTAATTAAATATTCCCTGGAGTGAAAGTGCAGTGGCTCATGTAGCAGATGATGAAAACAAGACGAGTCAACAATGTACTGTTTAAAAAAAAAAAAAAGATTAATTCATGCACTCCATTTTGTTGTTGATGACTTTTTATTCCGAGTGTGTTATGTGCCTTTTAGCTAAAATGAAAAGTTGCCATGAAATATACTGCCTGTGAGACAGAAAAAAGAATCCACGCAGAACGGAGGATGCTGTAAGTCATCCTGGAAAGTCGATGGCATTGTGGAGAGAGCAGCAAGAAAGGAACTTGGGGGCCAGAAAAGAGGGGGCGTCTCCAGGGACACAATGAACACATTAGAGGGTTGATGGAGCAGCCAACACACTCTCGACCTCTGCTCAACCCCTTTGCCCTTTGAAAGATTAGTGAGTGAGTGAAACGCTGTCGATAGCAATGAAACATCACTAAATCTGCCAAAACGGGTAGACACCGGTAAACCTTTCATTAATGTAGAAAGTTTAATCGTTTCACTTTGGCTGAATGTAGGTTACAAATTGATACCCTAACCATTCTTCTTCAGGGTTTTCTGGCAAGAAAGGAGAATTCGTGGTTCCAGCAGTTACAAGTCCTGAAGCAGCAACACGTCGCTATAATGCCACCACAAACCTCAGTGCATTTCATTTAGAGATTCTGCATTACTTTGTTATAATTCTCTTAATGCAGTGTCAATGTAAATAGAGGTTGTCAGACTTTCACAAAGCTTTGTAGTTGGTCTATTTCAGAGAAAAAATCTGTTTTACCTGCTCCATGCCAAACAACTTTTGTAATGTCCAGTTAACTCCAACTTTAAGCTCATAAAGTTTGCAGCTAAAAAAAGTAAATAATATTCGAAATTGAGCTAATTTTAGTATTACCATGAATTGGACAATGGTTTTATGTTTCAATCATCTCTCCAGCTGTCCACTGAAAACCAGGAAGTGTGGGAGGAATCCATTCAGTGTCTGTCCTTACTGGTGCAGCTGTATGGCGGAGAGGGTCAGGACTGCTTGTCACCTTCGTGTTTACAGAGTTTCTCCCTTCTCCTGCGCACTCACATGAACTCCGAGAACCCCCGGATCCAGCGCACGGCTCTGAGGATCATTAAACGGCTGGTGAGTCTCTCGTGCAGAAGCATCTGATGCAATATATCTAAATTTGTGCTCCGGCAGGAGAGAATCTTGGGGCCATTGAGAGATAATAAAATAATAACTAGACACGGACTTGCACACACTCTAACTCTCACAGACTCTTAGTGGGCTCCTACTCTCCAGAATAATGTGCAGTTTCTCCAGAATGAGACTGACAGAAGGTGCGAGACGGATTGAGGGGGAAGAAAATGCTGGGTTGTTTCTTCCTGTCAGTATCTGGTCAAGAGTCTGTCCAATTTTGTGGGATAGTCAGTATGATTTGTTGCTCTGATGAAAGCCAACCTGGAAAAGAGTGCAGTGCAGCACAGCTGCTGCTCCTCAAACACAATCAATACGAGTTTGTTAGTTTTCTCACACCGAGTACAAAACTGACATTTACTAAACTTTATTTTAACAAGGTGACAGGGTTTTTTTTTCTCTGTATTTTTTTCAACAGTAATGCAGCGCCGCCCCTTTAATTGAACCGCTAAATCAATAGCTCCACTGTGTTGGAAATATTGATTAGCTGCATTATTTGCAAATACAGCATTGAAGCACTGGAGGGATATCTATTTTCACTCTGCCAGAGGTGCGCAATATATTGAATCGCAGTGTCGATATCTGTAATAATGGGATCACATAGAACTGCTCAGATGCAATATTTGGTTGGATATTTTATTTAACATTCCCTGAATGCAAATTCTGTTTGCCAATAATATGTGTTGGCCATTGAGTCCATTGCTCTGATGACATGATATATATTTTACAGGCACTGAGATGCTGAAGCCCATAAAGATTAGTAAAGACATTGTAATAAAGGAAAGACAGGCGAGAGTTAGGAAACAGTATGTTAACTGTAATAAATATCATCTTGCAGTACTAAATAGTATCACTGTTATTCCCTGTTGTGATACTATAATAAAATAATAAAAGACGTTCCAAAGTACAAGACGTACACTTCACTTTGTGATGCTGAGCCTGAAAAGCTGTTTTACGTTGAATGGTAACCCTCTTACTCTATGATAAACGTCAAGGTTTGCATCCTTTCCGAATATATATATTGTTGCATACTTTCTTAGTTTACCATGTTTTTTTTTAAATTCCGGTTGTAATGAGTTGTTTATTGTTATTCAAGTTTTGATTTGCACCAGGACTTTATTTTTGGGCTGAGTTGACGAGGGAGTTCGACGAAAATGCATTTTAAGTCGTCAACAGAAGGCTAAAAAAAAAAAAAAAAAACATGTCTAATTTTTCCGTACACCTCTATGAATTATGCAAAATGCATCCCTAATGTTTTGGCTTGGCCGCAGGGTCATGAAAAAGTTTCTGCACGTGGGACACAAGGTCAGCTGCCACCTTTGTATTGCATGAACTGACCCAAGGCTGTGCCTGGAAGCTACTCTACTTTGTAGTTGTGCGTGAAAGAGGAAGGAGAGGACATTTGCATGTGTAGATATATTTGTAATTCTCCTCACTAATTAGTTCTGGCCATCTGAACCACCCACTCGCTCTCTCTCCATGTCACAGACCCCTTTTTCTCTTTCCCCTTTATTTGTCTGACAAATTTGTCATTTTGTGGAAGCTCCCTCATTACCCCGGTGCTGCCTCAGTGTGCCGACGCTCTCTGACTCTCCACCCTGAGCAACACACAATGCTATATTTCAGCTATTTTCTTGTAGCTCGGGGATGATTCACCAAGCAGCATCCCCGTGGAAATATAACTAATTTATTTGGTCACAAAAAAAAAAATACTCCATGTCCTCGGTCCACAGGTCTTCTAAAGCACACACTGGAGTCATCAAATGTATGATGATAAGCACATTTTAGAGCCCTAATTGTTTAAATCTATTCATTTTAAATATCTGTTGCTTAGCTTAGTGTTTCTGATGTTGTACAGCTATTTGGTTATTGATCAGTACCAAAGGCTAATAATGTTAACAAAGTTAGTAATTTAGATCAAAATGACCTGATTATGAGAAATTAATAGCAGAAAATCCTCTGTCATTTATTGTTCTATGAATATCTTCTTGGTGAGGTGTGGTATGATAGAATAGATAGAGTAAATTTGAACATTGATATCCTCAAACATCAAATGAGGAATAAATACAACTTCTCTCCAAAATGTAAACATTTAGCAAAATACTTGCGGGTGAAATACTTCAGCAAACAATCTTTTTAACTAGGCTAGCAACGGTCAACTAAGCTAACAAGTAAAAGCGAAATAATAATAATAATGATTTTTTTTTTTTTACTAGTAAAAAATATCTAATAAAATGACGCAGTGATGTCACAGATCAGTGAGAATACGGATGTTTACGAACCAAAGTATGGTTTGAGAACTAGCTCTGAAAGCTCACAATGAGTAACAAATGTAATGCTTTAAAACAAGCAGTTTAAGTGCAATGCTGACGGGGAGATAAAACAAGACTTCAATAAATTAATGTTTTGAAAATGATTTGCTGAAGTAAAAATCACAAACAGTTTGGACATTTGACTCTCACATCGACCGACTGAATGGCACGAATTGCTAATCACACCTGGGATTAGCAATTGAGTTTCGCAAAGAAGGAACGTAGCAGATGAAGGAACCCTTTTCTGTCCACTGCCACTAATTACGGCATAAACAGAATAAGTTGAGTGTTAAGCACAGCATAAACTAACTCTGGTTGCCGTCTTAGTGTTAGCAGAGCTCTTAGCTTTAGCATTATCAACTCGTATAACAGACACAATTCAGCAATTGCATAGGAAATATTCAGAAACATTTAATATAGGTGAATGAGAGGAGAGAAATGTGAATCCCCCATAAAACAGAATAAGATCACATAACTTGCTTATCTGGGCTTAAATACTTATTGAAGTAAAGTTTGAATCACCGATAGCCTCAGCTGCGGTTCGCTCTGGGCCTGCTGCGGGCCGACACAAATCTAGCAGCACAATAAAAAGAACAACTTTAAACTGTTTTATCCTAAGCTGATTTTGTTTTCTGCCCAGACACGTAACTCATTCTGATGAACGGAGGAACCGTGGCGGCAGCTCTCAGTGTTGGAGGCAACAGGCGAATTTTCTTTACGAATCCGTAATGGTTAAAGAAAATCCCAAAAGTTATTTTATTCATAGGAAAAACCATGAACAGACCTTGCTTGCCAAATACCTGACCTATTAAGGTCAGGTATTTTCCATGTTTGGATTCTAATCTGTTAATTGTACCATGCAATATAGTGCTCCTTAATTTGTCTCCCACATTCTGTCTCAAACACACACCTACTCACTGAATCGAGCGTCTGCCCTTCACAAAAGCTTTTTAATTATCTTTCATTGATTTCAGGCCTCTGTTAATCTCAATCAAAGATCCCGCTAATAGCTTTGAAACTGAAAAGAGGGGAAGGGGAGAATAAATCATTTTTGAATTAGTGAAATCTGACTGTAATTTATTTTTACAAATTAAAAAGACAAAGAAAACCCGAAAAAACTGCTAATTCAATAAAACCGTGTGATAAGTTGCCAGAGAACGAAGCATTCATTATTTTCGTAGAGTAGTTTATAATTTTTTTTTTGAACTTGTTCGTTTGCTTCTGGCAACATGGAGTTGATGATCTGTGCCGTGTCTTCTTGTACGGCAGGAAAAGCAAACTTTTCCACTTTTTGTCATGCTGCAGCCACCAAATGTAGGTAATATATTTTATCTAAGGTTTGTGTGCTGATCCAATTAAAAGGAGCTCATAATTTTATACTTAAAGAAAAACACAGTACCTCTGAATAATATCCAATGCAATTAACTGCTATCAGAATTCACCTAATTAGTAGATACAGTCCTGTAGGTAATTTGGTGGTAATACAAATACAGCAGCTCATGCTAACGGCTCCACAGATCCACAACTCTGCTGGGAGCTAAAACGTCAAGGTTTTGATCGAAGTGCATCACTTTGATCGAAACTTTGATCGAAGGCTTTAATGGGATTTAGGCCAGAACAAAATCCCATTAAAAAGACCAAAAACACGAAGCTCATGCTTTGCTCCTACAGTTATGGCAAATTTTTCATCAAACGGTTTACAAAGTTTTTAGCCGTGTAGCCAAACAAAACGCATCCTTTCGCTCGTTCTGTCAGTCTCTGAAACACACATCTAGATGTTCTGTTATTCGTGGATCACGTACACGATTTTTCTTTTCTTTCTTTTTTTTCGTGGCGAATCTGTTTCCGCGCTGTCAAGTACATTGTCACTTGTTTAAACTCAACGCCAACATGACAGCCCTGTGCTATACGTCTGAGGAGCTGCATGTCTGTCTGTCAGGCGCAGTTTGTCTGTCTGTCTGTCTGTTTGTCTGTCTGTCTGTCTGGGTTCATCTTGTACAACTTTGAGTTCAACATTATTGACTCGCTTGTTCGTCACGTATTGAGCTGAGGGGAGAATGGAGGACGAGGTGGTAGAGCCAGGCTGAGGAAGAGATGTCTGCGTTTGGTTGGCAGGTGCACATGAAGGTCCTCCAACGCCGATAGAGAAGGCAAAAAAAAAAAAAAAACAATGTGTGTGTGTGTGTGGAAAATAAGTGAGGGGAGCATCTTTTCTCTCCCCCTAACCCCGTTACTTAGCAACAACTGTACTGTGTCGCCACAGAGACAGACATGATGATGTCACCAGAGATCAGAGAAAGCATGTTCTCCAAAACACAGTGACACGAATCCACTCATCAGCACACGGACAAGCAAACTCACACAGACACACAAACATGTTTCATTGTTAGTTGTTACAGATTTGAGCTAAAAAAAAGAAAAAAAACTAAATGCAAAGTTAAGGCAGATTTTATGACTGAACTGTGTTTAGTTTAGTTTTTTTTTTTTTTTTGACTCAGGGAAAAACACATCACTGTGATGAGAGGCCTGACAGAGCAGGAATCACAACAGGAGAGAACAAATCGCATGGCCAGATGGTTTAGGGCGGGGCTTATGGACACACTTCATAACACTAAAGCATATACGCCTAAGTTCAGTGACGGAATCAGAAAGTAGGTCCAGGAAGCCAAACCTTTCAGATGACTTAATGACGAAAAAGTACAGACGTCATCCTGCAGTAAGAAAGGTGAATTTTGATTCGTTTATTTTGAAATGATAGCGACACACTTGAGTGGTGTGCCCGGTCAGCATCAAGGACGAATTCATTCTTTTGTATTCATGAGACGACTTACAGTTTACTGAAGAAATCATTTTAACTCCGGAGAGAACTTTTTTTTTTTTAATCTACTGCATCAATACTGTGAATTTCCTGCTTCGCAAATGTAAGAGACAGAAAATAAAATCCATCACACTTTTCGTTCTTCAGAATAAAAACAGTAATAATGTCCCTAGACCAGGGATCGGTTTTAGGTTTTCAGAAGTGCAGAACAATTTTGATTCATTTCCAGAACCATATACAAATAATACAAATAACAGCCAGAATCATATTGGTGTGAAAGTCTAGCAGCTGCTCTTCCAGCCTGCTTGTGCCACATGCTAAACTGTATTCTCTTCCGGATTGAAAGTTTTCCATCCCATCATCAGAATGAAAAGTACTGTGAAAACTTTTTTGCTGAATTTTTCTCTCTTTTTCTTTTCTGTTTAGATACAAACTGCAGATCGGTCTGGTTGGCTGGAATGTCCTGAAGGAACGGGCCTAACCAATCTGCTTCAGGATATTGTCGAGTCCAACAGGTGCGTCTTTCTGATGCGGAACGCTCGTTTTTATCCGGTCTCTTAAGGTTCGTTGCTTGAAAGCTGAAGAGAAAAATACAGTGGCACCTGGCAACAAGTGGAATAAATGAAAGAATGAAAGTGATGTCCTTCAAACTACCAGTGGTCAGAGCGTGTGAAAAAGTGACTCGGGTAAAAGATTTGGCAAATTGTAATTTTAACAACATTGCGATGTGAAGTTGTCACAGCTGCAGCTCTTGTGAAACTAGTTTTAAAAAAACAAACTAGTTGTAGATTGTGGATGTCTCTGTCCTGTGCTGAAGAGATGAACAGGGCTTTCAGAACCACCAGGATGTTTTATTTAGGAACGTTCTTATTGAGAAACTTGGACCTTGACATTCTGTTGGATTTTGTTTTTCACGTCCATCTATCACTGCCCATATCCAGTAAAACCAGTAAAACCAGTAGCCTCTTTGACCAAGAAGAATCAATTGAGGTCCAGGTGTTGATGTTTCAATTATCACTATCGCAGACTGGTAGAGAACTCGCGTGATGTTCTGGAAGAGCCAGACACGTTCTGTTTCCCTCAAACCAGTTTGTCGTGCTGGAAAACATACCAATTACCAATGTGGGCAGTGGAAATATTTGTAATTGCTCACAACCAGAGGAATTAGCCTTCTTTTCAGCACAGCAGCTCATCTCCAACGTGTTTCCGGATAACTGAGCCCGTCTAACCTGTTTCCGAGAGCGAGTCGTAGTTTCCTTGAGAGCAGTTCTCATCTGTCAGCGGCTGTTCATGAACCTTTTGCTCCTGAGTTGCTAAGTAGTATTTGTGCCATCAACCCTAAAGTTTACTATTTCCCCCCCCCATCTCATTTGAAAACATGTGTACTCTTGAGAAACCCAAAAGAAGGCTTTCTTCTTTACAACCTTTTCAAAATCACTGATGTATTTAGAGTTAATGTTTCTTGCTTAGAGTCATACAGATTCCCGTACTCGTAACCCAGAGTTGTTTTTCTTCTGTCTGAAGGTAAAACGTCTTTCGACAGGCTCTGTTAGCTGTGTGTTTGGCATGCCGAGTCGCCTGTCCGGCCCAGCAGAACCAGTCAGACCCTCCGAGAAGCTTTAACCTTTCTTGACTCAGGTTGACTGAAACACATCAATCCTTTCACTATTAAAAGTTTGCTATTGCAAGAAGCATGAAAAACTATTTCTACTTTTGTGCGTTTTGCCCTGAAAATGTATTCGAACTCCTCAAACTTTACCCACGTTTAGTCAAGTTACAACCTCACACTCCATTCATTTTTTTTAGAAACGTTGGTTTAAGTGTTTTTGGCGATACAAATCTGAAAAGTGTGGCAGGCATCTGTAATCAGCAAGCGTATTTCTCTGTTCTACGCCTGGGAAATGAGATTTGTGCCCCTTCTTTTCCGTCCTATATAAATAAAACTCTTGTCAGTTTCAGTAGAGGCCGACTGTGAGCAGCAATTTTCAAAATGTGCCCCTCACTCACAGTTAGTTAATCTGAGCCATTTTGCTCCAGCAGTGGTGATGCCATTTACAGTTGTTGTCCTGCAGTCTTGAATCTTCTGCAGTTTCTAGCATTTCTTTTTTTTACCAATACTGAGTCACTTTCCATCCTATCAAGTCCGTCCAACTTCCAAGTCTCTGCTGAAAAAAACAAGCCCACAGAATGACGCTGCCATTACCATGTCACACTCTTGAAAAGGTGCGATTGACCAGTTCTCCACAAGACTCCCAAAGCTTTGTTTTATAACCTAACTCATCTCTCACCGGTCTGATGTGTTATCAGTCTTGGAGATGCTATTTATGAACGGCTACATTAGCACCGAGAATGAGGTGAAACCTCGATTAACCAATCAGGCGGCGTCTGGTTGGACTGGATTTTGTTTAAGTGTATCAGAGTAAAGAGGGACAGATACACACATTATACGTTTGAGCTGTTTTTTTTTTTGTTTTGTTTTAGCATTTTTTTCCCCGAAGTCATTGTTATAAACGAAAGTGACGCATAAAATCCCACCAAACATACTTATGAAAACGTTCTTTTCTTTTTAACACAACATCTGCTCCTTGTTTCAGTTATATCTGAAACAAAACTCACTTTCTTCTTGTCGGAGAAGAAAAGGACAGGTCAGACGAAAGATTAAAAAACAGACGGAGATGTAAAAAAAAAAAAAAAAAGAGAAAATGAAAAGAAAACTTCAGTCACATAGCGGAACATGATTCGCTAGTAGTGATGTGTGGTCATCAGAACCAATCACCAACATCTGCAGGGGCAAACGTTGGTTCCTGCTGCCCGTCCAACGTGTGTGTTCCCGTTCGTGCACCTGTATCCTCGCCCAACGAGTGTGGGCTGAATGTTTGCTCCCTCTTTGAACCGAGGGTTTTCTCTCTATAGTGACCATGCTTCCTTTGATCCTTTGATGTATGAGACCAGCGACCTAACACACACACACACACACACACACACAAGCGCGGTGCCGACACACGCGGGAACACAATTAGTTGCCCCCCCGCCCCCTCCTCTGCATCCAGATTGTGTCTCTCAATCACACACAGATCCTGCCAGATCAATATTAAAGGTGTATTGTTGGTCTGCCATTGAGGCCCCTCTCACTCGACCCGCCCTCTCCACCTCTTTTCTCCTCCACCGCCTCTTTTATTCCCCCCACCACCACCTCCACCACCTCCCTTTGTCGCCCTCGCAGCCCCGTATCTCCAGCGCGCGCTGCCCCTCTCCATTTCCCTATTTTCCTGACCTCCTCTCCTCGCCTCACTTTCCCGTTTCTCTGGCAGATGAAAGCAAAAATCAGCTCTCGGCTTTGAAGTGGCCGAGGCTGGCGCCCTCCCACCCACCCATCCAGCAGCAGGGAGAGGGAAGGAGAGGTTTTCAGGGGGGACAAAAATAGGGGTAGGAGATGAGAAGAGCCGTGTGGAGAGAAGGAAGGGGACAGGAAAAGGTTTTAATTGAGAAGATGAGAGGAGTTTGGGCAGCGGCAGACGAGGGGAAAAGACGCGATTTGGAGGGAGAGCGGAGGTCGGGCCTAGATACTAATGATGTCATTGTGCCTTTACCATGGCAACCTGAGGAATGCTTTTTTTTTTTTTTTAAACCCTCAAGCCTGACCGTCTGCAGAGGGAGGGGGGGAGGTCACTTCAACTCCTGAAGAAAAGCCTCAACCCCCCCCCCCCGCCACATCCCCTCCAAAAAGACCCTGATCCTGGCTCACCGCCACGTTCAGGTCGGTCAAAGTCGTCACGAATGCTAAGGCGCTGTGATATCCGCACCGGCATCAAACGTGGAACCAAAACGCTCCTTCTGTAAACAACTTTGTCTACTTTTTGGACTCAAAATTCGTGAAGCAGCTGCAGCAGAAATCTTTGACGTTCAGCAGCTGTGGAACTATGAGGCAGGACCAGAAACAAACTAAAAAAAGAAGAGAAAAGAAAGGGGGGCAGGGGGATTATGGGGTGATTTTTCATAAGGTCCTGGCAATATGTTCCAGAAACAAGTGAGCATCGAAGGGCACCATCTGCTCAGCTGTGATCTGGCCCCCTTGCTGATGATACACATGGTGCGGACAATGCAGAGTGTTGCTAGCGTTGCACTCAGAGCCACTTATATTTTTCCTGTTCTGTGAAGGCACCATGAGGCATACTGAGGTTATTTGAAGGGAGCACATTTTCTAAGACATGTCTGCGATTCATTCAGGCTGCCAGAAGGCGAGAGAGAGCAAGACTTTCTGCAGAAACGAGTAAAAGCTAAACATATTACTTTTTAAGATTTTGCTGTTTTAAGCTTTTCGGCTTTCAGCCTCAGTCTGTCAGGGAGCAGAGCATTTCAAAATGCTGCTAAAGTTAAGGTGTAGATCTAGTTTCTCAAGGGAAACGCAAGGAAAGTTTATCACTGTGCTAACACTATTGATTACTTATAAAATATGCTAATGACGGAGCAAGATTCCAACATTACAGAAACTCCTCTTTCACATATTTGGTATGACCAGAAATATGTTCCTAATAAAAATGGAAACCAATATTGTACTACATTTGTAAATTAAGGGTGGTCCGATCAAATATATTGAAAATTGAACAATTCCGATCATTTCTACTGAAACCATCTTTAGCTGGACTGTTTCTCCTCGTCCTCCTTGGAGCGGCACAGTGTGTGTATTTGCCAGCACGACGTGTTGAGGATGTAATCAGTGACCAAACTGCAGCTTGAACTCACTCACTTTATCCAAATGCCAAAACTTTCGAGGGTCTGCGAGGCCCCTGGGGGACGTTTTAATTAGATCAATTATGAGGACGGTAATTAAGCTAAGAGGCGTGAGCGGACGTGTAGAAATGAATCTGTGTGAGTTTCTTTTTTTCTCTCTCTCTTTTCAGTCGAATTACTGAAATAATTGAACTTTCAGTGATATCGCTGCTTATAGATACACCTGTATTCAGAGTGTTAAGTGGATGCGTGAAACCGTGTTTGATTTATTTATTATTTTTTCATTCATTTCATCATAGATCAGTGAAGCGTTTTGTGTCTGAGCCGTTATGTTAGAGCTGACTGTGTCAACTGTGGACTTTATGCATTCATGCTATTGTTACAGTGAGAATGATAATCTGAAAACTGTTATGATTTTGACACAGATGTAAGTAAAATCAGAACAAATGCAATGTAGTTCATTTTAAGTGCATATGGAGCAGAATATTCTTTTGCGCTTTATAAGGTAGAACAAGCATGCAGCTATTGAGAAGACATGTTAGACACATTCATTGTTTCCGTCTCCATGCTGAGATTATGAATAATATATATATTTTTATTTATTTATTTTTGCTTTGTTTTAGGTGTCCTGCTGATGTGGCCACACGGGCTGCAGAAATCCTCCAGGAGCTCTCTGGATCCTAGACGTTTTTCCATCTTCCACCTCCAGTGACCCTCGCGTGACCCCGACAGTAACGGCATTTTACTGCTCTTCAATCCGGTGCTGATGGGACACTCATAAAGTTTGTCTGTCTGGGACTGAAACATCCTCAGAAACAGGACTTTTTGTTTGGCTGGTACTTGAAAACCAATCAGAGCTCGGCTCGGTTGGGTTCGGCGTTTCGCTTGTTTTAATAAATTTGTTGTGATGATTTGAGTCTCGGTCAGCAGCTCCTGCACGCCGAAAGCTTCACGCGCCGCTAAATCACGCAGTTCGGATATCGGCCCGTTCGTTGTGACTCCCTTCAGTCACAAGATGGATCAGTGACGGAAAAGAATGTTGCTGTTGTCACCAGAGTTGACAGCTCATTTGAAAACATCCATCCGTCTGCACAGGATTACATCATGAGCAGTAATTCGGCCTGTCACATGCATCACAGCACTGACCTTGGAGTCTGTTGAGATGCTCCCATTTGGCTTTAATGACAGAATATTGACTCATTAGATTAGCTCTCAGCGTGGCTGTGTGTGTGTGTGTGTGTGTGTGTGTGTGTGTGTGTGTGTGTGTGTGTGTGTGTGTGTGTGTGTGTGTGTGCTGTGACAGTCAACAATGAATACTCTGCCTCTACAGCACAACACTCAGGAGATAAATGAGCTTAGGTCAGCACAGACCTGTGTTCATGATGGCCTCTTCTAACAGGAGAGCCTGTGAAAAACGGTTGGGATTTCATTTAAAAATATAAATACTTTGCACTTTGTATGTTTAGTGTGGACGAGGTCAGACGCGGTAATACAATCTGAGCACATGCGACACAGGAGAGTTCATCTATTAATGACGGCGGTGCCGGCAAGCTTTGGAAAAAGGATCTGCCAAGTGTGAAATTCAAGTGTCCACACACTCTCACACACACACACACACACACACACAGTCACCTGCAGTTTCACAGGGCATCAGTTCGGCGTCAACGGGAGCCGGGAGCTGTGGATGGTTCACAGCTGCGTCTGCCGCTGTTGCACGACGTCGACTTCATCGGGAAAGTGAAACGCTGTTTGAAAATAACTCAGCTGTTGACGTTCCCATTGAAGAATACAAGGAAAATATCGGGAGACTAATCAGGCAGAAAACAGTATGAAACTGTAGATAGAAAATACACTATAGATGCACTGCAGAATCAAGATCTCAGATTTTCTAGCGTAAAACTTGAACATTTCTGAGTTTTAAAAATGAGCTCCTGCTCAATTTCTATTACTCTAAAAATTTCTGAATTTTTTGGAGTAGAAATTTACACGAATACACTGTTGCACAAAAATCCCAACTTTAGCCTGGAAAAGGGGAATTTCTTTTTAAGGACAATTCTGGAAAAAGGAGTGAATAACACTTCCAGTGTTCACTCCTAATTTTATCATCTATTTCCATCAAGTAGAACATAAATGCAAGTGTACAGGCTGGAGGTTAATTATCTTTTTATGGGATGTTTCCGCCCAGTAAACCAAATGCATCAAGGGTTTGAAGTCAGCGGTTTGTTTCCTCCAGGTTTTAACATGCTTCAGATGAGTCTAGTTTTTATAAATGATGTGACCTCAGCGTCACTATGGTCTCCTCTAGTTGACCCCAGTGTGCTGTTTAATGAATTCTTCCAGTGGGGTGAAATATTGCATTACTTGGATGTTTCTGTGGTCTGTGATGCCGTCCTCATGACTCGAGACGTTTTCTCATCTGTTAAGACACTTTAAGCCGAGTTACAAGTCTGAATGATTGTTCTGTTCCCACCTGCACAAAAATACCTGTGAATCTGCTAATTAGTCAGGAGAATATCCTGGTAAAAATGTGAAATGTTATAAAGTGGTGCTGAATACGTGAAGAAGAGTTCAAGTTTCTCAAAACCAAACTTGTCGCTGAAATGAGACAGACACCTGGGTGAAATGACAGTCCGTTTTATTGTTTCAGAACACAGCAGGCTACAAGCAACCAGCGCCTCACTACTTCACCCCTTAGTAACAGCAGACCAATAGGAGCACGTCTCCACCCCCGTTCTTACAGACACGCCCACCCAGCTCGGTCAGCTAACCCCCCTTTGGAACAGCTGGGACACGTCGGTGTCCTCCTTTAAAGCAAGAAAATAGCTCGATATTTGGACCATGATTTCCAATTCATGTTTTTTTTGTTTGTTTTTTTTTTTTGTACAAAAGCTACACAATGTTACACTTGATCATTAGAATACAATTCAACTGATTACCTTTAGTGTTTGGACACCATTTAAAATCTCATCCAGTTCTTTTGGATGGAGCATCACCACTTTAAAAGAAAAACAAGAAACACTTAGACTTAAAGTACAAGGGGCTAGAAAAAAAAACAAAAAACATGAGTATCATAATGCAGAAAAATGAAAAAGCAAGCTAAGTTCAGTTTGTACCATTACAGACTTAAAACGGAATAAAAAAGTAAAACAAGGTATTAAAAATGAAAAAACAAAATGCATAAAAAACTTGTTGGAAAAAAGCAGAAAAGAAACAAAAACAAAAAGCTCATCGAGATCAAAATCTGTGTTTCGTGTCGGGATTAAATTCGGCCTTCGAAGAAGCTGAGAGACCAGAACCGAACCACACTGAGGAAAAATAAAAATAAAAAAAAATCTACTTTGTCCCAATGGAGCTCCTGTAGACAGGAAACTGCTTGCTGTTGTTGAGTCATCTTCAGGCACTTTCTGAGACCCCGCCTCCTCCATATGGGCGAATCACGATGCAGGTTCATCCAGATCACATGATACAGCTGGAAGGAGAAGAGAAAGAAGAAAGGCGTTCAAGGAGAGGAAGTGGAGGCCACTGGGTCTGGTGGAGGACCACACACAGAGATCAAACGCCACATCACACAGCTTCAGAGCCGGAGCCGTCCGGACATGCAACAGCCAGAGTGAGTCTCCTCCTCCTACTAACATTTATCTGGGATACTCCCTGCTGTGCTGCTTGGAGAAGGCTACAAAGTGGAATGAGAAGTGAGTCTTACCTAGTAGAAAGTGTAGTGTAATGGTGCTCTCGCTATTTACAGGTCGGTATCAAACCAGGCCAGTTGGTTTGAGTCGCCAGGTGGAAGGCCCTCTATCAGCTCGGGGGCGTGGCCCAGGTCAGGCAGCCCTTCTACGGGTGGGTAGTCCTGGCCTGGGTGGTGCCCTCCACCCAGATCGTGGTCCATCATGGGCTCCATGCCCATGGCGTCCCCGGCGTAGCCGCCAGAGTGGAAGGGACGGTAGTTTGGGTCTGGGGGGGGAGCGAGGGTGGAGGAGAAGCAGGGGAAGCAAAGCAGCGGTCAGAAGCATGTTAAAAACCACACAGTCACACAGTAGTACGATTATTTCAACGAAACACCGCACAGCAACACGGCACACAGTTCGTCCACCGGCAGGCTGCATGGCGGCTCATCGGCCCACATGTGGAAGCAATTCAGTCCCAGTTTATGCTGCAGTTCACTTGGTGCCGCGGATGGTAAATGAGTTTGGAAGCAGAAATGCAAATAAGACCTGAGAAATGTTCCCTCCAACCCTCTGAAAAGTAAACAGAGCAGCAGACTGGAACTTCCTGTGACCCCCCCAGCCACTAAAATGACTGTACACACCAGGTAGTTACTGTTAAAAAGTTTAAAGATTTCCGCCGAACTTTCCTTGAGATCTAAAGTAAGACTAATTGGGTCATGAGCTCAGCTGCTCTGGCGTTTTGGTGCCTCTTTTCACGTGAAAGTGTTGCAGAAGCATAAACCCGAGAAGGCAACTCACCATCTTGTCTGTAGCCCAGAGGCTCTCCCTGTGCTCCGATGTCCAAACCCAGGTCTCCAGTCTGTGGAAACGCAGAAAATGTGTGAACAGAGAAGTAGCAGTCTGGACGATAAAGACCATTATGAGAAGAAGAAAAAGCTGCCAGTACCTCATTCCAGGACATTGCTTCTGTCCTGAACAGAGAGCTGGTCAGCTCCACAGACAGGCGCTTCTTGTAGTCTTGAGGTTTGTCCTCCGACATGCGGAACAGAACTGCTGCTGCGTATGTTGCTGGGGAAGGACATGAGGAAGAACATGGCTTTAGAAGGAGCCGCTGCAGCTTTAATGATTAAATTGTATTAAACAAACACCAAGGCAGGGTGATAAATTGATTTGACGTGATTAACCAAATTTTTGAAGATTACATTTTTTGGAAAATCTGTTTGGTTTGTTTCACCAATTCACTCTGCAGTACTGAATGACGGCAGCTGCTGAGGCCGCCATCTTGCTTGACGAGCTTTTTTTTTTTTTTTTACAGCTTCTATTCGTTTGGATTTTTCATTCAGATCAACTCTGGTAAAATATACACCCCCAAGAATTGAGTCATAAAGTCAAATTAATATGAGAATAAAGCCATAATAGTAAAACGAAGTAGTAATTTTATAAGAACTCATACAGGAGAAATTAAAAAGTTATTTAAGCTTTTCTCCGCCCTCATTAAAACAATAATTTTAAGACAATAGATCTGGTAAAATCACATCTATATTCTGCTAATATGACAAAAGGTCTTGGAGTCAGGCAATGATACTCATCACAAAAGGGATGATTGAATTAAAAGCCACATTTAATATATATATATATATATATATATATATATATATATATATATATATATATATATTCTGTTAGTCTCTTTAAAATAAAACAAGAAAAAACATTTAAAATAATATGAAAAATTTTAATAGAAAAGTATTTAAAAATCTGATTTTATTTTTAAGCCATATTGTCCAGCCTCAATAGTCCCTATGGCTCTTTATATAAAATAAACTTTTGCATTGATTTCAGTTAAGTAGCCGTTTGGAAAAAGAAACATGATGAAGAAATAATAAGCAGGCATTCCTCTGGACGTACCGACTCCTTCGTTGCGGCTGTGCAGCAGCTCTGTCAGTGGGGCGCTGGCCCCCTCGGCCTCGATGGCCTCTGCCACCTCTTTGTCCTGGGCCAGCTCACAGAGGACGCCTGCTGCTACGCGCTGGATGTTCTCAATGGGAGAGTACAACAGCTGCACACAGACAGAAGCTCACAGTCAAATTCATCCCTACATTTCTACCTCCAAACAGACAACAGAAGACATACCTGTACAAAGAGTGGGATGGTGTTGAGGCCTCTGATGACCACTCTGTTATGGAGATCTCTGGCCAGGATATGAAGTGCTCCTGTGCAGCCCTCCACGATCTCCTCCATACGGACTCCCTCCTGTTAATGCAAACACTCCGTCAGGATGGGGTAAGCCCAGCACCGCCTGCTCATCCTGCCCTCCACAGGATGTCATTAGAGCTCTTATGGCCGCTCTGTAAGCGTGCGAGAGCTTATGGAGGATCGTCTTGGAGTTCTGCGTGAGCTGCTCTTACCACAAACTGCTGCTGTGTGCCTCCCATGCTGGTGCGTCTCTGCGTGTCCTGGTGGGCTCTGACCAGCAGCTGGACCAGTCTGGGGATGGCGCCCTGCTCCCTCAGGGGGGAGTGGTTGGCGGGGCACAGAGCTAGGTTACGGATCAGACCGACTGTAGCCTGATGGGAAAATAACACAGCATGTTTAAGATGTTTGCTTTGGACTGAGCACCACTATGGAATTAACAAAAACCTCAGACATAAATCTAGAAAATGCTTGACATATTTGAAACATAAATTGAGAGCAGAAGCTTGCGCTCGCGTACCTTGATGAGGGGCCAGTGTGATGGTGGATGCAGTAACTTGACGACCACAGGCAGGCCGTAGTGCAGCCGCACGGCATTCTGGGCCATCTCTGCATCCTGATGTCGAGACGTGAGATGGCGCAGGGCGCAGATGGCTGGCTCTGTGATGTCTTCTCTGTCTCCGGCCCGCAGCACTGTGCGAACCAACGCCTCAATGCCTCCAACCTGAAACGCACAACGCAACAGATGAATGGATGAAGCATGAACAGATAACCTGTAGGGTTCCGACCTACAGGTTCGGAGAAATTACAGCACAAAAACAAAAACGCTGCTGAAAATTAGAGGAGGATCTTACTAACTGTAGGAACAAGAAACAAAACCATAGCTGCCTTTACATTACAAACGTCAGCAAGACTCTGCTGATATGCCACTAATGTTGAAAAAACTATTTTGCAATTGCGGTGTTTCCATTATACAAGAAAAGCAACTGAAACCACACAAACACGTTTCTTCACGCTGCAGGTCATTTAAAAATCACGCCGCTTTGTCATCCTCCTCCTACCACTTCCTATTTTCTTGGCAGTTTCTCAAAAAACACTCATTTTGATACTCCTGGAAAACCAGCTCACAAAAACATGAAAAATTAATTTTTATCATTCCAATTTGCATAATTCAATGGTCAATGGGCAGCAAGTAACTGACTGCAGTTTATTAAAGACAAATGTGCAAATGAAGCCAATAAATTGAACGTAATCTCACCTGGCAGACCATCATCTTGTTCTTATAGTTGTTACAGGTCAGATTAGAAAGGATCCCAGCAGCACAGGTCACCACATTGATGTCGTCACTGCCGAGCAGCTGAACCAGAGTTCCCAGAAGACCTTCCATTCCCTCCTTGAAAGCAAACAGAAAACTGCTTAACATAGATACTGGGAACTTCAGATGAAGAAAAAAATGTTCTAGTCTTACATTTCATCAAATAAAAATGGATTCTGTAACTATGCAGTCTTGTGTTAGATTCAAATAGAGTTGCTGCAGCTGCCCTCACCTGTTTGGTGGCAGCATCTGACAAGTTCCTGAGGGTCCAGAGACAATTCTGGACCAGTCTCTGGCTTGGATCTGTCAGGTGGAGACCCAGAGCCTGCATACCTCCTGAACAGACACACAGTGTTACATATGGAACGGCCTGCTGCTGGGAAATCCACTCATCATAAACGGTTCCTTAGGGTTAAAGACATACCAGCTTCAACAATGGCCGGTTTGTTACTGGAGCAGACCGACAGAACTTTAAGGACGCGGCTTGTGGTCCACAGGAGCTTCTCGTACGTGTAGGTCCTCATGATGTTGACCAGTGCTTGGGGGCCACCACTCGCCAGAATAATCAGCTACACACAAACAAAGCCAGATTAGGCTACATGTCAGAGCTGCTCTGACATGTAGCTTTCTCCCTTTGACCCCTTCCTCACCTTGCTTTCCTGGTTTCCATAAGCCAGTATCTGCAGACAGTCAGTGGTGATGGCCAGGAACT